AATGCCAACTGACCCGGCCGGACTCGAACCAGCAAAATTCTTGCTGTGAGGCGATCGTGCTACCCACTGCACCACTGTGCATTGGGTGAAATGTGGTAAAAGCTCATTGGTTTAATTTTAAAAATAATCTTTAAATGTTAAACTGTTGGACTTGTCTATATTTGACCCAGCACTGGGTTTAAACTACCCAATATTTTCTTAAGTATATATCAGGGGTGTCAAACTCATTTTATCTCAGTGGCCACATGGATGAAAATATTTTCCCAAGTGGGTCGCATCAGTAAATCATGGTATATATAACTTAAAACCAACAACCTCAGATTGTTTTCTTTGTTTTAATATGATCAGCATAAAACATAAAGCTAGAGCATGAGGACAACATGATCGCTGCAATTTGTAACTTTTTGATTTGGCTAATTCATATCAATTTGCACGATCTCATTCGTAACATTTACAATGATTTGCTTATCCACCAATGACTGGGTTTAAGGCAAGGGTGTCAAACTCAATTCCTGGAGGGCCGAAGCCCTGCACAGTTTAGTTCCAACCCTGCTCCAACAAACTTACCTGTAGTTTTCAAACAAGTCTGAAGGACTCAATTAGTTTGATCAGGTGTGTTTAATTAGGGTTGGAACTAAACTGTGCAGAGCTGCGGCCCTTTTGGAATTGAGTTTGACACCTGTGGTTTAGGGGTGTGTTTGATTGCCACGCCTTTTTTTTTTAAATGGTTCATTTTCATATGACTGAACTTGTACGAAATAGCCACTAAACTGGCAAATCGGAAAATACTTACCTGTTCTCGTGAGAACACCTTAGTGTCAAATGGCAGGGCATAGTGGTCTTTCTCTCTGAAAAGGCAGTGATTCAGGCTTCTGGATCGGATGAAATGAACAGTTTGCTTTTATGCTGTTGCATCCAGTGGACACAATTGGAACAGCAGTTTCTTTTATTGAAAACTTGCAGCTCATTTTTATTCTTTACAGAATCATCTCGCGGGCTGGATTAAACCCGTTTGTGGGCCTGATCTAGCCCGCGGCCCCTATGTTTGACACCCCTGGTATATATGCTGTATGCAAGGTAGTGAGACAGATGTTTCTCAGAAAATTGATGCAGCTTATGCAAAATGTATCTTCTGTGAAAAATGCAAAAACAGGTTTGCAAACACCTGTGTAATCTTAACTCCACCAAATGTTGAATATCAGTTTCACACTCACTGTAGTCCGACATTGGTGCAACAGCAATACACACTAAAAAAATGCTGGTTGGGTCAAATATGGACATTTTTTTCAATTAAATTAAATAATAATAATAAAACACTTTTTACCCAATGGTTAGTTTTATCCATATTTGACCCAACTTTGGATTATGACAACCCAGAATTTTTTATAATGTATTGATACTGTATCTCATTCATTCATTCATTCATTCATTCACCTTCAACTTAGTCTCTTTATTCATCAGGGGTCACCACAACAGAACGAACCACCAACTTATCCAGTATATGTTTTACACAGCGGATGCACTTCCAGCTGCAACCCAACATTAGAAAACACAGACACTTATGCACTACGCATAACTTAGCTTATTCAATTCACCTATACCACATGTCTTTGGACTGTAACCGATGCACCGGGAGGAACCCCACACAAACACGGGGAGAACAACCCAGAGCTGCAACCCAGTACTAGGAAACACCCATACACTCTAACATTCACACTCATATACTACGGCCAATTTAGTTGATTTAATTCTGTGCATGTCTTTTACTCTGTGGTAAACTGGAACAGCTAGAGTTAACCCATGCCAACACAGGGAGAACAGGCAAACTCCACACAGAACAATGTGTTATTAAATATAACAAGGTTAAAAATTGCTGATAATGTTCTTGTAAATAAGCAGTATGCTGAGTCATAGACTAATTGCATAAATAGCAATCCTCCTTCCCCTGAGGAGAACTATGTTCAGTGTACAGTATGGATGGCATTCTTCACTTTGTGGCACTTACTCACCTCAACAGAATCCAGTGTGTCTTCTCTTGTTTATGTGGCAGTATATCAAACGTTGGCTTTCAGACTGCTGAGACCGGTGTGTGTCCTGTTTAGTTTCTGAGAATGATCACTGAGGTGTGGTTTCTGTTCCACCCAGTGGGTTAAATGCACTAGCTATGCTGGCAGACTCGCTCCAAATCATGGTTGTTCTCAGACGCTTGACTGCAGCATTAGTGTGAGAAGAAAAGGTTTATTTGAGGACACGGAGTGGAAAAAATACATAATGTGCTCCATGTGGCCTCGTTGGGGTTTTCACTTGGTGATTATTTTACCAAAACATATATAGACTGCCAATGCTGCTTGGCAGGAGAGCTCAGTTTAAGTTTTCCTGTAAGCTGTAGGACATTATTTTTTTTACAGACAGAAGCTTCCAGCAAGGAGAAGAAACCCATCGCCAGTGTTATAGTTTGGTGTTTTGGGGCCAATTAAATGAGATTGCTTGATAAAGAAGCAGGGGAATGTTTTAAAAGTAGCATCAGATCAGATTTAATACTTTTTAAATGTATTTTAGTAGTGGTTTTGGTTTAACAAATATACACTATCTGACAAAAGTCTTGTCGTTGATCCCAGTTGTAAGAGCAACAAATAATAACTTGACTTCTAGAAGGTAGAGTTTTCTGATGAATCATCTGTTGAACTGCATCTCAATCATCACCAATACTGCAGAAGATCTATTGGAACCCACATGGACCCAAGATTCTTATAGAAATCAGTTAAGTTTGGTGAAGGAAAAAATCATGGTTTGGGGTTACATTCAGCAGCCCGAGGTATCAAGACATTGGTGCTGCCCATTACATTACAAACCACAGGAAAGGGGAAATTCTTTAGCAGGATAGCTCCTTCTCATACTTCAGCCTCCAAATTAAAGTTCCTGAAAGCAAAGAAGCACAAGGTGCTCCAGGATTGGCCAGCGCAGTCACCAGATATTAACATTATTGAGCATGTTTTGGGTAATATGAAGGAGGGTGCATTGAAGATGAATCTAAAGAATCTTGATGAACTCTGCAAGTCCTGCAAGAACACTTTCTTTGATCATATTTCATTTTGGTAAAATTAGCGTATTCTAGGGGCCTTCATATAAACCATTTCTGATACCAATTGATTATCCAGAAGTCAGGCGGCAAGACTTTAATTAGGTAGTATAGTCATTGTTTTTTTTTATTTGGAAATGAAATGACGTGACATTTTACAGCATGAATTGACCTATGCAAAACTGATCAGATGTTTGATCATTAAAATACAAATTAAACAATAATAGCAGCATTGCATGAAACATTATCCCTTCATGCACTGAAGGGCACTTCGTCCCGTTCCATTGCCATTCACACATTTGTTCCTAAAAGGGATACAGCTGCGACCGGAAGTTAATGAGAATTTTTCATATTATTTATTCAGTACCCATTAATTGTTGTAACGAAGTGGCTGACACAGAGGGATCCATTTGCAGTATTTTTATTAAACACAGTTTAATAAACAATAGCACACAGATGTTGTGCGTGCACAAACTCACATCAAACACTGTAGTATGTTGTCTGGCTGGCAGCAGGTAAACACAGAATGAGTATGCAGGCATGGGTCAGAGGCAGGCGGCTAGTATCAGAGTCGGTAAGCAGGTTAGAGTTCAAAGGCAGGCGGCTAGGATCAAAGTCGGGATTCAGGCTGAAGTACAAGGCAGGCGGCAGGCTGGACTGGGTCAGTAAACGAAGCAGGATCACAACGGGAAAGCAGGCAAGGCTGAGAACGCTCAGTAGTGTTAGCCGGGGCAAAACAAAACTTCGCAATGAAGCAGCGTGTGTGTGTGTGCTGCTTATATGTGTGTGGAGGGTGATTGCTGGATGTGCGTGTCAGGTGAGTCTGCCATCAGTGTAAATGGATGACGTAATGTCAATAGTCCGGTGATGATGACCTCTGCTGGCCAGCGAGGGGATTGACTGGGACCGAGTTGGTGACAATTGTATTTTATTAACGTCTATTCCTACCACAACCCTAAGCCCAACCATCGTGGTAATGTAAAAAAAAGTAATCATACAGAGTCTTATTAATATTATTTATTAAATTAAATTGTATCCCATCTAGACTTTACCCCTTTCACACTCACTCGTTTTCCCGTAAATCATTGCATTGATTATAGTTACACCTGTTCCTCATCATCTGTACTATTTAAGCGACACTCACTATCTCATTGCGAAGTCTTGTTTTTACTGTAACAAACAATTGTTTTTTTTCGCCCTGCCTGGATTAATTAGCTCAAACTCTTTGTTGGATTTGTGATTATTTGCATAAATAATTGGAACAGGTTAAGCTGTATAAGTGCAGTGGTTTATGGGAAATGGAGTCCGTGAGAGTGGCAGTGGAATAGGACTGTAGCGGAGCTCGACCACATGGAAAGAACCTAAATAAACATTGTTGAGTAGTTTTGATATAGGTTTAAAAAAGGTTTGATATAGGTTCATATTTGATTATATAGGTTCTTTCGCATAAACTTCAGCTGGTAATCATTACACACTTTAAAAATAGCAATAAATATAAAAAAATGACAAAAGCAGGTAGTAAAATTATTGAATATGTTGACAAAGAAAATGTTTTGAATTTTAATAAACAGCAAAGCTGTTCTTTTAATGTTGTTTCTAATGTTATTAATATTATTTTAAAGAATTTCTTTCTTTTATCATGGCCCTTACATACTGCAATTTCTCCATGACAACAGTTGTATCAGCCTGATGTTTTTTGTTTAATGCTCCCAAAAATATCAAAGTTGATTTGATCACAGAAACTAAAAATGCAGTCATCATATAAGAGCTCGATCTATGGGTGTGAAATGGACTGTTGTATTTGTATATCCTGTGGAGAGTTTAAAAATGGTTACAACCCAAACTTTTTGCATTTTTGTACAAATTTTTAACTTTTACTGAAAATAATATGACAAACAGACCTAATTTCCGTCTCTTTCAGGGAATGAATGCTCTCAGGATGAAAGTGGTGCGGCGGCCATCTTCTCCACACAGCTGGATGACTTTCTTGGTGGCAGCCCTGTTCAGTTCCGCGAGGTCCAAAACAACGAGTCGCTCACCTTCCTGGGTTACTTCAAGTCCGGCATCAAGTATATGGTGAAGTCCACATTTAGTTTAATAAAAACGACTCAAAGTCGTTCATCATTAACTTGCAATAAAATACTGTAAAACCTCACTTCCTGCTAGTCTCGCTCCAGACAGTTTTCATTCATTCATTATTATTCAGTCATGCCACATCATTATTGTTGCACTGAACAAGTGGTTTAGCTCAGTAAGTTTGCTGATGTTTTACTCAAACACTGAATAAACTCTTTTATTTGCCAAGTGTGCGCAAACACACATGGACTTTTTTTTTGTTTTGCAGGAGCTCAGGGTACATACATACATACACACATACACACATACACACATACACACATACACACATACATACATACATACATACATACATACATACATACATACATACACGCATACATACACACATACACACAAACATACATACACTGTAAAAGATACAGGGTTCCACTCAATTCTTTGAGGTTTCTCCAACACAAAATTATCAATTTAACTTACCAAATTTAAGTAGATTGAATAAAAAAAAAACAATAAAGTTCAGCAATTGTGTTGTTTTAGCTCACTTTTTAATAAGTGGTTTGAACCAGCAGCAAATATATTTTTTTATGTACACACATATATACTTATCAGCATAAGTATCAGAAGGTTATTTAAATAAGTAAAAAAAATACAGTAAACAATAAGAAAAGTTACATTTATACATGGTTTAAATGCATTGTTGACAGTTTTAACTACAAATAAGAAATACAAAAATATTTATATAAAATAATTATGAGTTAATGTATTATAGCTCATACTTTATTCAGTGTTTTGCATTGTGAGAGATACACTCAATTGTAGCAGGTTACACATTAAAAAAGTGAAACTACCATTTCTTTCACTCATTCATTTTCTTTTCAGCTTAGTCCCTTTATTAATCTGGGATCAACTTATCCAGCACATGTTTTATGCAGCGGATGCCCTTCCAGCTGCAACCCAACACTGGGAAACACCCACACTAATACTCTACGGATAGTTTAGCTTAGTCAATTCACCTGTACCACATGTCTTTGGACTGTGGGGGAAACCGGAGCACCCGGACGAAACCCAACCGAACACAGAGAGAACATGCAAACTCCACACAGATAAAGCCAACACTCCTCGCTCGCCAGGTAGCATTTTGTCATCAGCCATTAACTGATTCAAATATGAAGTTTGGGATTTTGTTTCTAAAACAAAAATCTAAGTTGAACCATAAGTTCATGGTCAATTACTTTCGAGTTTATCTAGTGTTTTTCCTTCGACAGAATAAAAATTTTTATTAATATTAAATTACACTTTTAGTTGCAACACCGAAAAACGACAAATTTTAGCTGGAATAACTTACATTAATTATTTTAATTTGGTTCAAAATGTCATTTTTTGTTGCAGAAAAAGTTTTACAACATAATGTTTGTAACCTGGGTGTGAATTACAAGGGGGGTTGGGGGGATCTGACCTTCAAATTAACGCGAAACCCTTGTGTACTGTTTAGATGTGCTACGCTTTCATTATGTTGGTGGCTTTTTTTTGCCCCATTCATTTCCATTATAATGACAATTTTAGATTGCGAAGTCATACACCATACTGTATAATCATGCACTTTTTATTGTAACTGGTTTTCCCTGTTGGGAAGAGGTCAAATGTGTCATTTTTAATGATCATAAGTTGACAGCAATTAGATAGGAGAACACAAAAAAAGTTTCTGGCTTTTCTATGGAGTAAAACTGCAGATTATATTGCATGTGCATAAATACTGTACACTTACCATGTTTACCATGTTCTGAAAGCCGACCTGCTTATTTAGATTTTCTCAGACTTATCAATATAAGTGGCCAAAGCTTTCTCTGTTACACACACACATACACACTGGTGCTATACTCCATAAAGAAGACAGAAACTGCAACTGATGATCTGCATCAATATTATTTAATCAAATATTTAACAATTATTACAAAGCAGTTTCGCTTTCCGGGTCAAGTGCATACAGAATTTTCCCAGTCATTTTATTTACTCAGCTCTTTTGACAAACACTCAGCTGAGTGCTTTGCTTTTAGGTTGTTGATGGTTTTTAGAGTTTTATTTTGGCCGTTTGCCCAGGTTAATTTAGCATAATGCAATAAGGGATTTGTCTTTCCCGTCTCCTCAGCAAGGTGGAGTTGCGTCTGGCTTCCATCACGTGTCGACCAATGATGTGAATGTGAAACGTCTGCTGCACATTAAGGGCAGGAGGGTCATCAGAGCTACAGAGGTGGCGATGTCCTGGGCCAGCTTCAACAAAGGAGACTGCTTTATCGTCGACCTGGGGAAGGTACAAGAAGACAAGTAAACACAAAAACAGTTGGGAATGGAAAACACTTTGGTTTATTTGTGTAATTTCCTATAACTGTAGGAGGTGTACAGTGGCCAGGAGAGCAGCAAATTAAGAAAAGATCCTCACATTTGACAGCATACGTGTTGCAAATCCTTACGACACAAACACATACAAAAAAATTTCTTACAACACAAACAAATTAAGAAATGCCTGCATTTTCTCACAGCGTGTTTAAGAGGCATCATTGTAGAAAGAAAATATTTCTCTGCTTTATTTACATTTGAACAAAAAGTTTAAGTTAGAATTTGCAATGGGTATGGTATGAATAATTTAGGGCTTATATATGCAGTTAAAGTCAGAATTATTAGCTCCCCTGTTTATTTTTTCCCCTAATTTCTGTTTAGCGAAGAGTAGATTTCTTGAACACATTTCTAAACATAATAGTTTTAATAACTCATTTCTAATGACTGATTTATTTTATCTTTGCCATGATGACAGTAAATAATAACTAGATATTTAAAAAAACACTTCCATACAGCTTAAAGTGACATTTAAAGGCTTAACTAGGTTAATTAGGTTAACTAGGCAGGTTAGGGTAATGAGGCAAGTCATTGTATAACGATGTTTAAAAACTAGCTTGAAGGGGCTAATAATTTTGACCTTAAAAGGGTTCATAAAAAATTTTAAAACTGCTTTTATTCTAGCTGAAATAAAACAAATAAGACTTTCCCCAGAAGAAAAAATATTATCAGACATACTGTAAAAATTTCCTTGCTCTGTTAAACATTATTTGCGAAATTTTTAAAAAAGAAAAAACAATTCAAAGGGGGGCTAATAATTCTCACGTCAACTGTGTGTGTTGACGCACACACACACACACACACACGCACGCACACACACAGTCTATATATATTCTAAATACTTTCCAATTGTGAGTGTAATATTGCAATTTTACATTTTTACTAGGAATTCTGAGAAGAAGTTATGAATTAGAAGCTTTGAATTTTAAAAAAAGTCTTGCGATTTATACTTTATTCTCAAAATTGAGATTATATTAAACTCAGAAGGTGTCCAGACACAACAGATTTTTTTATTGGATAGAAACTTTAAAAGATTTCACAGTATGTGAATCAGAGTAGTTGATGTATTCTTGCTGAATATAACTAATTTCTATCTTTCAAAATAAAAATACGGAGCTCTTTTTAAAAGCAGATGTATGTTTTAATATGTTTTAGTCATTCTTTTTGTTTTTTTCCCTCAGGATATTTATCAGTGGTGTGGCAGTGGCTGCAACCGATTTGAGCGTCTGAAAGCCTCCAAGCTGGCTATTGATATCCGGGACAACGAGAGGAACGGCAGAGCCAAGCTGGTCATGGTGGAGGAGGACGCTGAACCAGACGCCCTGATTCAAGTCAGTCAAGTTTAAGCTCTACTTCTCCTTTAACAATTTCCACACAACCACCAGGATGAATGATTCCGTGGCTGATCAAATTTCCACAATTCAAAATCCCTTTCATTTTATTTGCTTGTCTTTATATAAAACTACTGCACTACACTGTAACAAATGTGATCAACAGAGCTCAGGAATCTACGTCATAACGAGTTTTGGTCGGCCATGTTTGTAAACAAACCCTTGAGTGCACAATGGAAATCAATGGAAATCAAAACAGAAAAAGCTGACCGTTTTATAGTAAAATCTTTTGAAAAACATCTCACAACACTCAGAATAAAATGGGCAAACATGTCAATACCTTTATATATGATTATTGTGTGTCTGAGAAGCTAAAAAGAAGAAGTTTATCTGTAACTGACATCGCATCAATGAGCTGCTGCAAGAAAACATTTCCACACATGATTTTCTACTTTTTTTGTTGTGCGAGCGCCTACAGTTTTATACTGATCAGTGTCTATTTGATAGAATAAATCAATAGAGATCAATAGAAGTCAGGCTTCCTTGTCCTAAAAACCCAGAATGCATTGCGCTATAACAACACATTCCCATTCTTTTTTAAATCATGACACATGCTCTTATGTTTTGTGTTAAGTTTTATGTTGCTATGTTCAGTTTAAGTTGTTAAAGTAAGTTAACCACGTTACATTTTTAAGGTTACGTTAACACTAGTGCATTTAGGAGTGTGGGCACAATAGCTAGACTTACACATTTTAAAACAAAACACAATAGTGTAAATGGCGCATAAGACAGTTTATAATATGGGATCTGTTGGATGCTTGATTCTGATTGGTTGATGAACATTCTAAGGTCGGCAATTCTTTTCAGATAAACACAAAGCTAAAGTTGTTCCAGTGACATTGCAGTAATCTTCTAGATTGGGCTGCACGATATTGGAGAAATCTGACATTGCGATATTTTGTTTTTCTGCGATATATTTTGCGATAAGAATACAATTTTACTAGATGACTTTCTCTATTTGGGATAAATTTATCTTTTTTTAATTGGTTTTGTTCTGTAAGGGAGTGCATTTGCATAAAATGTAATAAACAATCTATAAGCGTACAGTATATAAATGCAATAAAGACAAAATATGAACAAAATAAAAGCCTTGCATTGTTTTCAGAAGAGTGTAAGGCCGCATTTAGGCTACACTGCTCTGTTCAATTGACTCAAATCTTTTTTCTCCCATGTGGCACAGATCGGATATGGCCCGTGTATGTGTAAGCAGGAATAAATCACATGGATTCCGATTTACTCAAATCAGATTCAGGCCTTGTTCATATGTGGAAATTTATCTGATATGAATCGGATCTGTGTTCTCATGTCTGCAGTGTAAGCAGTTAGATCGGATTTTTACCTGTCAATGCGAGTCGCGCTTAATTAAAAACTATGGTGATTGACATCAGGTTTGACACTTTCTTTTCAGAACAGACTTCAGCAGAGTCCCAAACCTTAAATCTCATACACAAGGACTTAAACAGCTTTCATATTGTCATATAGCTCAGGTATTTAAGCATGTTAACAAGAGCGCTATGTCCACCACGTAACCAATATAAACTAATATGAAACTAGCCTAGTGCATACATCACATGCATAAATCACGCCATGGACATAACATTAAGATGCCTAAAGGTTTAAAAAAGTCTATAAATTAAAAGGAGATGGACAAATGAGAACCTTTCGGTCATAAACTATAGTAAAACATCTTGTCAAAAGCTGTGAACAGATTACATACAAGAAGAGAGAAAAGAGCACTCTTTAATTATCAGCTGTTAGTCAGCGCCCGCTCTTTTTTTCCTGGTCATTGAGCCTTTTCCATGTGCTGTGTAAATGCAGACAATCGGATACGAGTCACTTTTAAAAGATGATGTCATCAAAAAAATCAGATACCAGTTACAAAATCGGAATTTACCATCAAGATCTGCATTGTAAATGCAGCCTAAGTATACAGTAATTGAGTAATCAAATGTAAAATAATGCTGCGTAGTCTATGTTTTATGAATAATAACAATATATATATATATTTTTAAATCCTCATACAGTTGCAGGCCTCAAAAACCTATTCAAACCCAACATTGCAGATCCTGCAATGTGACTATTGCGAAAGCTCACACTGCGATATTGATGCTGAAACGATTTGTTTTGCAGTCCCACTTCTAAATACTTCTAACTTCTATCTCACTACAGCTAATGATTTGCTTATTTTAAATGACCTCACGCTCTATAACAAGCAAAGACCAAATCAAATCTTAAGGCTTTGGTTGTGGATATTTAAGTGCTAAAACCTGACAAATCTTGAAATAATAATAATAATATCTTTACATGCCATAATCATAGTGTAAGTGGAATATCCGATTCCGGTCCCTTGTATTATTAGAAAATAATGCTTCATATCATGGCGTCAGTTTTCAAGTAATTCGATAGCTGTCACCAATTAATACGCTACTTACTGTGAAATGAGTTATAACAACTTAAGGTTGTTTTAATTCAAATTAAAAATCCAAGGCAATTTTTTCAAAATATACCCATAAAATGTCTGCTTTAAAAATGCCATGCAGCAGCGTTATATATTTCCTGAATAACCACATATATTATGGGCATCAACAACCAGGGGTGATGCAAATCTTGGCACAAAGGCTTGTTTGTTTGTGCTCTGGCAGTTCTTAATGAGAATGCATCCATCATTGCTTTAATGAGTGGAGTTTTGCATGCCAAATACTGTCTGTTTTCTGGTCTTTCAGCACAGGGCTGAATGTTTGGTCCACTTGGCATCAGATAAGTGTTACAAATAAAGCCCCACTGTGTCCGTATGGGCTTTAATCCTGTATTTCCTCCTGCAGGCTCTCGGGCCCAAATCCGAAATCGCCCCTGCAACTCCAGACGATGAGCAAGTAGAAATCTCCAACAAGAACAAGGGGAAACTCTACATGGTAATAAAGATACAAAGATTTAAAGTGTTTTTTTTATTTTTTTTATTTTTTTTATTAGATTTTATTTAGGACTTTCATTTCAGGGGGGCTCAGCTCCATGAGGAGAAAAAAAAATCATATATATATATATATATATATATATATATATATATATATATATATATATATATATATATATATAATTGAAGTCAGAATTATTAGCCCCCTTTTGATTTTTTTTCTTTTTTAAATATTTCCCAAATGATGTTTGACAGAGCAAGGAAACACAGTATATCTGATAATATTTTTTCTTCTAGAAAAAGTCTTATTTGTTTTATTTTGGCTAGAATAAAAGCAGTTTTTAATTTTTTTTAAAACTATTTTTGGGACAAAATGATTAGCCCCTTTAAGCTATTTTTTGTTTTGGATAGTCTACAGAACAAACCATGATTATAGAATAACTTGCCTAATTACCCTAACCTGCCTAGTTCACCTTATTAACCTAGTAAAGCCTTTAAATGTCACTATCACTTCATACTATGCTAGTCATGCTCTATAAAACATTACAAAACTTAATTATTCTTGGTTTAGAGCTAATTAGTGGTATAATAAACCAATACAAAACAACAGTGTTTCGTTAATTAGATTAACTAGGTGGGTTAGGGTAATTAGGCAAGCTATTGTATAACGATGGTTCGTTCAGTAGATAGTCAGAAAAAAAAATTGCTTAAAGGGTCTAAAAATTTTGTCCTTAAAAGTGTTTATAAAAAATTAAAAACTGCTTTTATTCTAGCCGAAATAAAACAAAGAAGACTTTCTCCAGAAGAGAAATATATTATCAGGCACACCGTGAGAATTTCCTTGATCTGTTAAACATTATTTGGGAAATATTTAAAAAAGAAAAAATATTCAAAGGGGGGTTTAATAATTCTGACTTCAATTGTTTGTTTTGGGCAGAACTGTTTAATTGTATTGATCCGGCCCTTGAAACCAACTCAGTTTCTAATGTGACCCCTTATAATTTTCCCCTTATGTAAGCACCGATTAAGTTATTGTTAATAAACTTTGAGATTTTTGTACCTCTTTTAAAAGTCTATAAGAAATATAGTCACATTATATGAATGTTTATTTAAAGCATTTCTTCATTTATAAACGTTAATTATCAAACACTTTCACAGCATACAGCATTCAAATTCAGATTCAGTTTCCTTGCTCTGTTCAACATCATTTGTGAAATATTTAAAAATGAAAAACTATTCAAAGGGGGGCTAATAATTCTGACTTCAACTGTGTAGATCATATTTCATATCAAGTTATGCATTTTTTGTATTGTTTTGTTTAATTTTAATACCTCTGAAAGTACAAATAATAATTTTAAAAATGCTTCCAGTTTTAGTATTCCCCATTCATTTCCTATGGGAAAAATTATAGACTTAACTTTGTTGAATCGAGTCCTAATTTTGTGTTTGTATTGGTTCAGAAAGCAAACAAAACAGTACCCAAGTCTTGAGTTGCTCAGATTAAGGACATTATTAAAAAAAATCTAAATAAATGATTTTTCCCAAAAATGTCCTCTGGAATGCTTTAAATATTTTTAAAATTATTTTATATAAGTTATTGTAAGAATAAAGTAGACACATTTAATATACTTTCCATGTATATATACACATACCATATTTTATGAGTTTAATTGTTCTAAATGTTTACTTTATTGTGTTAATTATTTATGCAGATTGTTAATTATTTATGCAGACTGTTATTATTTATCCAGACTGTTATTTAATACAAATTCATGGTCGACAGCTGTAAAGCCTTAAACACAGTATTTTTTTCTCAGCTTTATTTGTCCTGTGGTTTACTGTTGTTATTGTAGATCTCCGACGCCTCTGGCTCCATGAAAACAACAGAGGTGGCAGAGAAAAGCCCATTCAAGCAGGAAATGCTAATCAATACAGAGTGCTACATCCTAGACAATGGAGTCGACAACAATGTGTTTGTGTGGAAAGGTGCGTCGCATGTGTGTTCATTTTAAAATCAGCATGGAATCACGATTGGTGGCATTTTTGGACTGCATAATTGTTGTAATTAAGCCACATTGGAGGATTTTCAAGCAAGAACCACCTTTTTAAGGTCATGCCACTGTATCTCAATTGGATTCAGGTCAGGACTTTGATTAGGCCACTCTAAAGTCTTTTGTTTTTCTTCAGCCATTCAGAAGTTGACCTAGAAATTGCAAGTAAATTTCACAAATAATTACAAAGACCAACTTCCATAATATTTTTTTATTTACAGTTTTGAACAAAAATGTTATGCTTGTGCACAACCAACATGATCTCACGCCAATTCGTCACTTTTTGATTTAGTGGCTAATTCATATCAATCTTTATGATCTCATTCTTACAACTTAGTTAGTCTAGGTTTAAGGGTAAGGTTGGATGCCATGCCTCTTTTTCAAATTTTCATACTGCTGTACGAATTAGCCGCTAAATTGACAAAGCGTGAAATAGTTATGTTTCCTAGTGAAATCAGACATAACAGTCTTTTACTGCTAATTTGATATGCTAATTTAAAAAAATCAGGTCTGTTTTGTTTTAGTTAGTTGGTAGCTTTCTTCCAAAAATCTGGTGTTTGTTTTGTAGAATTTTACTTTTGCTAATCATAGTTAAGTTTTATAGTATACCATTGTATACAACAGTGGTTCTCAAAGTGGGGGTCGGGACCCCCCGAGGGGTCGCGGGGCAATGAAGGGGGGTCGCCTGGTGATTTCCAAAAATCTGTGTATTTTTATTAAACCATAAGAATTAACATATTTTATCCATAACTATACTGAAAATAAAAATAGTCGTTTATAGTTACTATATACTATATAGTTACTATATTACAGTAGCTTATAGTTACTAGTTCTATTGGATTGCGACCCCTGGGGTAATTACATTATATTAAAGGCAGCAATAGCATCAGATGCATTTTGATTTTATAACGTCAGGTTATACTTTCTGCCACATTTAAAGCACTGACACAAATTTAATTGGTGTGTCTGCGTCATTGCATGCAAGGTTTCTGTATTTATAACCACCTCAGAGGATATTGGGGGTCGCGAGTCACTGGCATTTTTATTTTGGGGGTCGCGGGGTGAAAAGTTTGGGAACCCCTGGTATACAATACTGAAAAACTAAACTGCTGTGTATTATGATTACTATCTTCCTATAATCAGAGTCAGGGTACATGTATTTGTTCAGTTCTCAGTTCATTTTCACATGTATATTATTTTATGTGTGATTTGAATGTTAGAATAATGGCCATTGTTATTGCTGTTACCAAAGTAATTGTAGTTAAATAAAAGTAAATTTTATTACTTGAAATAATATAAACATTCAACAAGAAAGTAAATGTTAAAAATATTGTTATGATTCACTTACCCATTTTCCTCACAGTTTTTTCTCGTTTTAATTCAAAATCGATGAAATAAAATAGCTTAAACTAAAATAACATTCATAACATTTCTGTAAACATTTAAGAACAACACCCTACCTTCAAAATGGCTAAATTAAAAATAATAATAATTTAAACTATTTAATAAAACAAACATAGTAACAATTAATGCTAAATTAACAACTAATGCTAAAATATTTTTTAATTGAAATAAAGAAAAGAAAAAATCTAAAAACTTAAAAAAAATCTAAAGTTTTGATGGAACCTTTTTACATTTCCGTCTGGGTTTCTCAGTAGCGGAAGATGTCATGGTTGGGTAAACTTAGAGTGCAGTGAATGGGAGAGTACAACAAATACTTTTTTTTATAATCCTGTTTGCTGAAACAATAAAAGAAAAACTTTACAATGGTGTTATCAAGACTTTCAGAAAAAGGAAAAAGAAAACAACAGTGTGAGACTGATAACGGCAGCCAGAGGAGAGAATAAGGTCAAATTTAGTCATAGACGCTGCATTAGAAACACCTCGCATAAGCGGTAATTCGTTTTTTTATAACTTGATGCAAAGATGATAAAATACATTCATAAATGCATATAAATGTTCATACTTTTAAAAAAAATCTAAATATTAAAAACTTTCAAGGATTTAAGGTTATGATGATTATTAAACGTGTCATAACAAACTTGTGAAAAGGGTCCATTATTGAGAAATCCTCAATTAAGCTAATATTAGGCCTTGTTTGCAAAGCAGCATATTTTTTTATCAGATCCAGTGTAAATCATTAGCTTAGATTATTATAATTTATTTAATTCATTATTACAAAGTGATCACCAATTATGCTAGATGTTATTTATTGTTATTCATCAGTCACTCTGAATCTTCCTGTATCTTTTTGTATGTCTCTCTTATCTTTTTAAGTCAAGTATTTTTCTTTCTATGGCACTTTTTTACTATATCAGTTGTACCAAACCAGCTTCCTATATATAAAAATGAATAATAAGCCATAACAATATTTTAAATTGAAAAACATTACAATATTATAGAGATAAATCAGACTGATAGCATCTTCATGTGTTTTTCTGTAATGCTGACATGCATCTCCGATCACTAGAGCCTCTTTGTTTAGATGTGCCACATAATTTTCATAAAGATGAAAGATGTTCATTCAACATGTGCTCTGTCTTATTTTCTTGACAGGATCAAAAGCAACCACATCTGAACGTAAAGCAGCCATGAGTGCAGCGGAGCAGTTCATCAAAGAGAAGAACTACTCCAAAAAAACAATGGTATAAACAGTACAACACAGACACTTTAAACACTTGTTATGCAGAAAGTTCCAAAAATAAGATCCAGATCTGATCTGAGTCAGGTTTATCAGCAAAAGGAACCAAAATAGCTTTCTAGAATTCACTAGCAATGCCTAAGGTGTTGATTACATGTTACATTTTGCTAAATCATGCAAAACAGGTAATTAGATTAGATTAGATTAGATTCAACTTTATTGTCATTACACATGTACAAGTACAATGAAACAAAATGCATTTTAGGTCTAACCAGCAGTGCAATAGCAGCAAGTGCATAATGTGCTAATTAATCAGGCTACAAACATGCTAACAATTTGTTAAAATATTAATGTTTTTGTCTTGTTAGTAACAAGCTAATTTATGATAGCAATAGGTAAAAATGTTTAAGTCTGAATGAAATCAAAAGTACAATTTTGTAACGCACATTGTTGTACTTAGGGTAAACAATTAATGTGCCCTATCATACACCCGGCACAATGCGCGCTATTTGCGCCCTGCACTTTGGACTTTGTGCCTTGATCATCAAAATAGAGCCCAATATGTGAAGTTTATTCATAAACTAATTTCGAGAGGATCACGTGCTTATGATTTATCACGGCTTGTCTCTCATTTGCTAATCACTATCTTCCAATCATATGAGCCCTAAGCTACTATAAATAGCCACAGTTTTCAGTTCACTTTATCTTCGTTTGGAAGAAACCCCCCTCCTCCCCTATTCTCCTCCTTTACCTCTGATTGGGCGGCACGGCGGCCCAGTGGTTAGCACTGTGAGCCCCACAGCAAGAACACTGCCAGCCCTGGTTCCACAGGACCGGTGGGTGTTTCTGTGAGGAGTTTGTATGTTCTCCCCGTGTCCGCGTGGGTTTTCCCCGGGTTCTCTGGTTTCCTCCCACCATCTGAAGACATTCAACATACATAACAACCAAGCTTTTGTCTAACCCCTTGTGTTCCCTTAGCTACCGCAGCAGGGGAGTTCTGAGATCCACCGAGCTCAGGCTCCCCTCTCGCTCTGCCAACGGGAGGAAGCCCTGGGCTCAAGGAGCCCTTGAGCTTGGGGCTCTCTCCCGGGACAGCATGCCAAACAAGCTTTTATAAATCATCAGCTAAGTGTGAACTCTTGAAGTATAAATTAATCCACTGAAGAAAAGAAAAAAACAACTGTTTAAATTGTTAAGTTAAAAATTGTGCACACAAAGTCTGACCATTTGCTTCTACGACTGGAGTGGTGGTCTTTCTCTGTTGATGTCAGTTTGATGACTTCAGCCATAATATTCTTAACCACACCCCTCTTACCCTTTGTTTGCTATACAAAGCAATGATGTGCAAAACAAAGCCCCACCCCCTACTCAATATTTCATTTCAGTTAAAAAGTACATCAACATTACTGCAATAAAAGTCTCAGTGACTTCTAGTTCACACAGACTTTAACAATGTGCTAATTAATACTAACAGCCTATTAAAAGATGCTAGAAGCAGCATCATGTGTTAGCCATGTGTTAAGGCATGTTAATGCTATAGCAACATGCAATAATGTTGAAAATGTTAAATTAGTTGAGCAATATTTAAATCCATACTAACAAATGTGTTAACTGTTAGCAATTTGCTCATTCGTGCTAGGAATGTGCTAAACATGGTAACACTGTAAAAACATGGTAACACATGAGATTCTACACTGTAAAAAATGCAGGGTTCTACAGGAATTGTATTGGATTAGTAGTTTGAACAAGCAGCAAAAGTTATTTTTTTGAGTGTAAAGTAAGGAAAAAAACATGTTAGTAGGTGCAATTGAACACTGACAAAATTATCAACATTTTCAGAAAATCATTTTTTTTTAAACCTGACATGCAACTTGCTAGTCCATGTTTATAGACATGTAAAATATATCTGCCATGCTAAACAAATTATTTAACATGTAACATTAGCATTAGCATGTAACTTAAGAGTTTTGCACGTGTTTAGTATAATGTAACTTGTTAACTTGCTAGGAATCTGTAAAAATGCATGGAATTTATTGCAAAATAATGCATAGATTATGTTCAATAAATCTAACCTTTATTTTTGTTTAAATTTAACTCTAACTTTAAACTTACAGTGCAGTATAGCTTACACAAGTAAAAAAAACATTACTGATGAAAGTTAAGGAACTGTAAATATTCATGTTTGCGAAAGTTTGCTTTTAGGAACCATGTAATCTTTAGTCCCCTCAAATACATTCCATGTAAGTATGTTTGTTGATACTCTCTTACTTGTTGCTGCAGATCCAAGTTCTGCCTGAAGGGGGCGAGACCACCCTGTTCAAGCAGTTTTTCTCTGACTGGAAGGACAAGTATCAAACCACTGGCCCTACAAAGGCCTACACTATTGGCAAAATAGCCAATGTGGAGCAGATTCCTTTTGACGCCTCCAGCCTCCATGACAACAAGACCATGGCAGCCCAGCACAACATGGTGGATGATGGTTCTGGAAAAGTCGAGGTAAACTTCTCTTTAGCTGCTCACTCTTTCAAATACTACTGTTCAAGGATTGGTGGTCAGTAAAAGTAGTGTTTTAATTTAGCAAGAACACAACAAAGGGATAGTTCATTTAAAAAGGACAATTTACACTTTGTTTATTCACCCTCAGGCCATTGAAGATGTAGGCAATTTTTATTTTTCCGTAAACCATTAGAGCTTTTAAACTGAATTAGTGGCTCTTTGTGATTCGTACTGTATTATGTCAGTGGTCATCCATTTGTGAGATCGAACATAAACACATACAAACAAGTCCAAACAATTCTCATGCAAACTTGCATACATCAGTGTGTTGCCTAGAGCCATGGGCATTGATTTGGACTTGTTTTTATGTGTTTATGTTTAATAATAATAGTAAAAACGGTAAACATTGACTGGATTATCTGGATCACCAAGAATTTAGATAAGATTCCTCCGTAATTTTCAACTGAAGAAAAAGAATTCACCTTCATCTTGAATGAAGTAAATTAACAGATTTAAACATTTTTTGGGGTGAACTATTCCTTTAAGTTGATCAACTGTGACAGTAAAGTATACTTAAATTATATATTAAAACAAATTCTATTTCAAACTGTTTGTTTGAAAATTCCTTACAGCAATAAATCCTAAATATCCTAAAACAAGCATCACGCACAGGCAATTATGATATGGGGATGGTCATGATGGACAGAAGGACAAATTTGGCCAGGGTGCAGGGGTTAAACCTATGCTGATTTTTGAAAGAATTTTAAGTGACCACAGAGTCAGAACCTCGGTTTAACGTCACTGAAGAGTATAGAGTCCCCATCAATATACTGGGGCCTTAGGACACAGACCACAGTTGAGCTCCCCCTGTTGGCCTCAATAACACCTCTTCCGGCAGCAACCTAGCTTTCCCATGTGGTCCACAATCAAATTCACAGCAAGCAAAGGACACACACACACACACACACACACATATATATATATATATATACAATGCAGGGAAGCGATCACAAATTGAGGAGCGGGGAAGGTAGGCAGGGTGAAGCGACGACGCGGGGAATCCTTCACAAACTGAGAAGCGATCACAAACTAAGGAGCGGGAAAGGGGGGCGGGGTGGAGCGACAACGCGGGGAAGCCTTCACAAACTGAGGAGCGATCACAAACCGAAAGCGGCGAGAGCGTCAAAGTAGCCAGAAGTCATTAATTTTCAATGAAAACCGGCGGCGAGAAACAGCGTGGCGCTACTTCTCCGGTGTGAGCAACGAGGAGATTTGAAATCAAGTCAACTTTATGGTATGAGCTATGACGCGGTTTGGCTACAAGCAATTAGAATGAAGTAGTCCACGGCTTGAGAGGTGTCACAGAGGAACACAGACCTGTGAACTTTGGTTCCGACCACAGTTGTTCCCAAGGGTTTGATTATTGCGGTTGCCGGATTTTCAATTATTGAAAATTGCGACGACGTGGGGCCCCCTAATCACGCAGGGCCCCCCTGCAGTGCTTGCCCTGCGGGCCCGTTCGCTACGCCACTGTATATATATATATATATATATATATATATACCTACCAACTGTATTTAAACAAAAGTAATCCGTATCAGCATACTGCCACTTTAGCTCTTTAGGTCAAAGGTCTTGATCAGTTCATGCCTTCAAGAGTTTCTTAGATGCCCACACACACTGATGTCTTCTGAGGTCCACAGCCATATCACCCTGTAGCCCAAGACCAGTTACTCATATCACGCCGTTGTCCTGCAGCTGCCGTTGCATCATCCAAGTGGATGCTGCACACTGGTGGAGGTGTGGAGAGACTCTCCCTCATGATTGTGAAGTGCTTTAGGTGTATGGCCCTACACAATAAATGTACCATATATGCACATTACATTACATTCATTCACAGCTGTATTTACTCGTACCATTATCCAAGTACACACACACAATTGAAGTCAGAATTATTTATTAGACCGCTTGTTTATTTTTTCCCCAATTTGTGTTTAACAGAGAGATTTTTTCAACACATTTCTAAACATAATAGTTTTAATAACTCGTTTCTAATAACTGATTTATTTTATCTTTGCCATGATGACAGTAAATAATATTTGACTACATATTTTTCAAGCCACTTCTGTACAGCTTAAAGTGACATTTAAAGGCTTAACTAGGTTAATTTAGGTTAACTAGGCAGTTTAGGGTAATTAGGCAGAGTTATTGTATAACAATGGTTTGTTATGTAGACTATTGAGAAAAAAATATATCTTAAAGGGGCTAATAATTTTGTCCCTAAAATGGTGTTTAAAAAAAATAAAAACTGCTGTTATTCTAGCCAAAATAAAACAAATAAGACTTTCTCCAGAAGAAAAAATATTATCAGACATACTTCGAAAATTTCCTTGCTCTGTTAAACATCATTTCGAAAATATTTAAAAAAGAAAAAAAGATTTAAAGGGGGCTAATAATTCTGACTTCAACTATATATATATATATATATACACACACACACATTCCCCTGCAATAAATGAAACCAATGCTTGTATTTCGCAATTATTGAAGGTCAATGTTAAATCTCGCTTGTACATTTTATAAGGAAGATACACAATGAGATTGTTTTATTAATCGGTGATGTTGGTCTGAATCAGATCTGGCGTGTAGAGGAAGGAGCTCGTGTGCCGGTGGACCCCAAGACCTATGGCCAGTTCTTTGGTGGAGACTGTTACCTGATCCTCTACACCTACAAAAAGGAAACCAAAGATCAGTACATCATCTACACCTGGTCAGTCTACACCAGTTCATAGTGTTTCTGCTGTATTATCTGTGGTGTGTTTGCAGCATGTGAACAGAGTGTGATTGTGTTTCAGGCAGGGGCTGAAGTGCACTCAGGACGAGCTGGCAGCTTCTGCTTTCCTCACAGTCCAGCTGGACGACTCCATGGGGGGAGCTCCAGTTCAGGTGAAAAAAAAAATCATCTGTGCCAGAAAACAGCATTGAAAACCACAACAACACGTCATTATGATCGTTGATTTAGAAAACAAAAACGTGCACATTACTGCATATCAAATTCAGGTTATTAGTTGGCACAGCTTTATTAGTTACTAATAACTTTAATGAATTAACTAGTAACTAATAGATTTTAACAATTAATGGCATTATATATAAACAGTTAACCTGCAGTCATATGGTATATAGGTGATGTCTATGTGCACAATCATAGGGCATATTGTATAAGTCGTTGTTAAAACTTGTTCCAATTCTGTTTGACTTTCTATATTCTGTTGAACACAAAAGAAGATAGTTTGAAGATAGCTGAAAACCTATAACTATTGCCTTCTGTAGTATGGGATTTTGGATGTCTATGGATGTCAGGTTTCCAGCTTTCTTTAAAATATCTTGTAGCTACCAGCTCCAAAAGTGGTGAGAAAAGCATTGAAAGTTTTTTCCATGCCCCGCTTACTAACAGTTTTGCGCACTCTACGACAATAACGGATGCTATTGCATTGTTCATCTGCAAAGACATTCAGCCTAGTGTCACGGAGAACGAAGGTTTTATACACCTCCTCCTGTTAATTTTTATTTAATGATATTTTTATTAGCCTGTTGTTTACAGTGATGTTTCAAAGCAGCACAACACTGCTAGTTCACGACCTTAAGTTTTGAATATTCAGTGGCAAAATATATCTATGATCGTTGATTTAGGGGTGTTTTGTTTAAATTGGTCACATGCCTAGTTAGTATGTAGTCTCTATTATTGCAAATCACATATTGAAGAGTGATTTATTGCCTTTTTAGCAGGTTCTGGATGTTTCTTTCACATTTAATTCAAGTTTATTTGTATAGGGCTTTTTACAATAGTTATTGTTTTAAAGCAGCTTTAAAAAACGTGCACATTACTGCATTTTAAATTCAGGTTATTAGTTGCCACAGCTTTATTAGTTACTAATAACTTTAACAAATTAACTAGTAACTAAAAGATTTTAACAGTTAATGTCATTATATATAAACAGTTAACCTGCAGTCATATGGTATATAGGTGATGTCTATGTGCACAATCATAGGGTATATTGTATAAGTCGTTGTTAAAACTTGTTCCAATTCTGTTTGACTTTCTATATTCTGTTGAACACAAAAGAAGATAGTTTGAAGATAGCTGAAAACCTATAACTATTGCCTTCTGTAGTATGTGATTTTGGATGTCTATGGATGTCAGGTTTCCAGCTTTCTTTAAAATATCTTGTAGCTACCAGCTCCAAAAGTGGTGAGAAAAGCATTGAAAGTTTTGCGCACTCTATGACAATAACGGATGCTATTGCATTGTTCATCTGCAAAGACATTCAGCCTAGTGTCACGGAGAACGAAGGTTTTATACACCTCCTCCTGTTAATTTTTATTTAATGATATTTTTATTAGCCTGTTGTTTACAGTGATGTTTCAAAGCAGCACAACACTGCTAGTTCACAACCTTAAGTTTTGAATATTCAGTGGCAAAATATATCTATGATCGTTGATTTAGGGGTGTTTTGTTTAATTTGGTCACATGCCTAGTTAGTATGTAGTCTCTATTATTGCAAATCACATATTGAAGAGTGCTTTATTGCCTTTTTAGCAGGTTCTGGATGTTTCTTTCACATTTAATTCAAGTTTATTTGTATAGGGCTTTTTACAATAGTTATTGTTTTAAAGCAGCTTTACAAAACGTGCACATTACTGCATATCAAATTCAGGTTATTAGTTGCCACAGCTTTATTAGTTACTAATAACTTTAACGAATTAACTAGTAACTAATAGATTTTAACAGTTAATGTCATTATATATAAACATAGTTAACCTGCAGTCATATGGTGTATAGGTGATGTCTATGTGCACAATCATAGGGCATATTGTATAAGTCGTTGTTAAAATCATGTCACCTAAATCCCTTTGAAATTCTGTAAACAAACCTTACCCTACACTTGTTCCAATTCTGTTTGACTTTTTATATTCTGTTGAACATAAAAGAAGATAGTTTGAAGAAAGCTGAAAACCTATAACTATTGCCTTCTGTAGTATGTGATTTTGGATGTCTATGGATGTCAGCTTTCCAGCTTTCTTTAAAATATCTTTTTGTGTTCTGCAGAATAAAGAAACTCATAAAGGTTTAGAATCATTTTGAAGGAAGTAAATAGTGAATTTCTATAGTGAAATGTAAATTGATCAGGTTTTTGGGGGTAAACTGTCGCTTTAAGTGTTACAGGCCATGAATCAAACCAAGCAAGAACATTAAACATTACAAACATTTAGATTTGAAGCAAAAACCTTTATGGAAATCTGACAGAAAGCCTAATGTCCAAGACTGACACAAACGACATAGCCAAATTAAAAATGGTAGAGAAATTTAAGACTGTTTATTTAAAGTTGTACGTAAATAAAATTAGAAATTTCTAATTTTTTGCAAAACATGCATATATATATATATATATATATATATATATATATATATATATATATATTTGAGCTGCACAATTAATCGTTAAAAGATCGCGATCTCGATTCGACCTCCTATACCAGGGGTCACCAAACTTGTTCCTGGAGGGCCGGTGTCCTGCAGATTTTAGCTCCAACCCTAATCAAACACACCTGAACAAGCTAATCAAGGTTTTACAAGATATACTTAAAACACCCAGGCAGGTGTATAGAAGCAAGTTGAAGCTAAACCCTGCAGGGACACCGGCCCTCCAGGACCGAGATTGGTGACCCCTGCCCTAGACGATTTTAATCCAGCATTTCTACGATTCTGCCAATCGTATTTTCAAGTTCAGAAGAGAAGAAAAGGCAGCTGCACGAGTCTTTTCATTGTTTCACACACGTTGCTCAGTGACATTGACACCTCCAAATGATGTTGAATAAGTCACATATTGTATTTATAAGGTATAATTCACCTAAAAATGTAATTTTTGTCTTAATATAATGATGTTTTGTCGATCGGGAAATCACACGTGACGTGAGCTGCTGACCGTGAGCTGTTAACACAGAGAGGGCAGGCGCGCGCGCTCTACTTAGTGATAGACGCACACGCGTCTACTTTAGTGAACAGAACCTTCATATGTTGCGAGTAACAGGTAATACAGCTGTAAATAATATTCAGTTTGTGGCACAGAGTGATCGTTTGGGAGCCGAGCGCTAAGTATTATAACCATTTAGCAGTCAAAATGAAACCAAAAGTGTGCACTTCATTTAAATGATCATATCACATTTTAGAGTTATGATTGCGAAAAAGCATTTGATATGTTTTTTCTTTCATAGCGAACACACAGTTGTGCATGAAAATAAATGTTTACAATGTCAGTATAACTCTAGCCTATATATTGTTGAATATAATCTGATAATGGCAAATGTCTGATTTTACCAGTGAATTAAATTGTCTAATATGACAGATTGCAAGCATATATCTCAAATATAATAATTCAACATCAGAATTATTAAAAGATTAGATTAATATAGAATAGATTTTTTTATAGAAACCAGTAGACCTACACATAATATTAATATCGATGTTGTGCCATATGTTTGTTTTTACCATACCTATTTTACATCTACAGAATCGTGAGAAAATCGTGATCTTTATTTAAAGCAAAAAAAAATCGCTATTTTCATTTTAGTCAGAATCGTGCAGCTCTAATATATATATGTATATATAATATTCTTGTGGAATAATTGTGGAATATTTTTACTGCATCATTAGTAATGCAGTTTTTGTATATAAATTATATTATTTATAGTTATATTAGTTACAATGCTATTAGCCACTCACCATTTTCACTAGCCACAATTTTGTTGTTGGAAAAATATTTTTAATACGCATAAATAGGACTTTGACATGCTAAAATGACTTGATTTGTCCACTTGCCTCCTCATTCATTTCATATTTTGTGTGTCGTGTATGAGCAAATGGGTCATGGTTTTATAGTGCTATACTGCAATTAGTTTTTATTTCACACGACTTTTTAGAACTCAAAATTAAGGATTTACCAAATTTATCTCTGACCACACCAAACAATAGTTATTTATTAGCCACAAATTTTAAATGTGCCAAAACAAGCTAAATATAGCTGTATACTACACTTTTTATTTAACAAAAAATTTCTTTTAAAAAAACAAAACAAAGAAAAACAATTGACTTTTAACTATATTTATTGTCATGTATCAAAAACATGCACAGTAATCTGTCCTCGCTAAAGGTCTCTCAAATCACCAGTTAACTACACATAAATGTTGTTGTAAAAAATGATAATTAAACAATATTTCCAAAAATAACCGTAAGCAAAAGAAAGCAGGTGAAAAACATACTGTGTAATAATGGAAGGATGATCACACGGTGAAGGCCAATTAATAATCTGTTCAAAGCGAAAGCAACCGGTGCTGCTTACAAAAAGACATTTGGAGCTCTTAAAAGCAGCAAGACAGCATATTAGCATCACTTTTTGTCTGTTCTATATGAAAGAGAACCGATCACAGTTGCGTTCCTTCAAGCAAGGAAACCGGAGAGCGCACTCGCTTTAAACAGTCGCGCGCATCACATCAACTGTTAGCGCGACTGATCATCCTCTCATTCGGCATTCACCTGCTTTCTATTGCTCGTGCGAAAGCAATTATTTTTGTTAACTTAGTCTTGCTGTTTCTCGATCCTAAGATCACATTTGCTGGCATATTGGGTCATCCTTATAGTCGAACCCTGCTTTTAAGAAAACCACAATTTAAAAATGATTTTTAACCAGCCAAAATGGCTAGTGGGACTGACTGTCTAACCCGCCAATGTTAATGTTAAGCCCTGATTATAATTTATTCATTCATTTTTTTTCTACTCAGTCCCTTTATTAATCAGGGATCACCACAGTGGAATGAACCGTCATATATATTATATTATATTATATTATATTATATTATATTATATTATATTATATTATATTATATTATATTATATTATATTATATTGTATTATACTATATTATATTATATTGTATTATATTATATTATATTATATTATATTATATTATATTATATTATATTATATTATATTATTATTATATTATATTATATTATTATTATATTATATTATATTATATTATATTATATTATTATTATATTGTATTATATTATATTATATTATATTATATTATTATTATATTATATTATATTATATTATATTATATTATATTATATTGTTCAGTGCAATAAACAATTCAACTGTTGAAAATATTTCTATGGCTTCATATTTTTTTTTTTTTTTAGAAACCATGAGAGAACGTTTTCAGTATTCTTTAATGAACAGTACAGCATTTTTATTTTCAAATAGAAATGAATGTAGAATTGTACTGTAAATGTCTTTTCTGATCCCCAAGTTTGAAACGGTAGAACAACTAAACTTTTATTTAGAGAACACCGAAAACAGACCCACCAAATTATACAGAATGACCAGATGAACACATTTGACAAAAAGATTTGTTATATATGATGTAGGCATGGGCCGGTATACATTTCTGATGATATGATAACTTTGGATTAAAACCATGGTTTCACAGTATTACGGTATTGTGATTACTGCTCCAAAATGAATACTTTTTAAATGTCTGGGTAAAACCAAAACAAAAAAACTTTCCCCATTAAACACAATTTATTTTAAGAAACATTTATAATATTTCTTCATTAATCTCTAAAACAGGTATTTCTTAAACAATAAATAAACAAAAAGTATAAAAAAGTATAACAGAAAATTTTTCCAAACAGCAGTAAACCTTGAAACTGGTTTTCGATTCCATGCCTAGTATAATAAAGTTTCCCAGTAGTGAGTTGCAGCTATAAGGGCATCCGCTGTGTAAAACATATGCTGGATAAATTGAGAAGTTCATTCCGCTGTGGCGACCCCTGATAACCAAAGTTACTGAAGGAAAAAGAATGCATGATAAAATCAATTTCAGCAAGCCACTAATTCGATTCTCTAAATCTGAATCTGATATCTAAACACTTGTAAGCTTCCAAAATTGTATATAATGCACAGAGGAAACCCTCACATGATAATTAGTTTGGGATATTTTAAGTGTTTCCTTTCTTATATTTTCCCCATTGTGTATAAACCATTATAACTTAGAATCCAGCATTAGCTGTATTTTTGCTGGTAACCACTAGAGGACGATCATGATAAGAACAGCGATGAAAGAGTCAAATCATTTAAAACTCAAATTCTATTGAAAACTTACAAATCTCAGGTGGAAGGTGGCGGTTCATTCTGCTGTGGCAACCCCTGTTTAATAAAGGGACTATCCTGAAAAGAAAATGAATAAATGATACTTGAATTTGTTTTTTCTGTTGAACACAAAAGGAAATACTTAGAAAAATGTTGGAAACTGGTAACCATTAACTTGTTTTCCTTCAATGGATATCAGTGGACACTGGTTTTCAACATTCGTCGAAGCATCTTCTTTTGTGTTCAACAGAAAAAAATAAATTCATGAAGGTTGAAAACCTTTTAAGGGTGAGAAATTACTGAGAAAGTTAAAATTTTAGGTGAACTATCTCTTTAAATGCATGTTGCTTCACCCAGAAATAAAACATTTTTAATCATTTACTCACCACCATAGCATTCCAAACCCATGAGGCTTTAGTTAGTCTTTGAAACACAAATTACGCTCATGCACGCACAAAAAACGGAAAGAGTTTAGCATGTGTCACCCATATGTTGTGCATTTGTGTGTATCAATGTGAACAAAAGCCTAAAGTACATGTATTCATTGCAGTAAACGATCATATGTTTTGAATAAACTCATTCATATGAATTTATTAATCCAGTTGTAGTCATATGTATCATCAGTAAACATATACCAATATAGGACAAACCACCTGTAGACCACAGAAGAGACTTTCTTACAAAAAAAACACTGCATTTATTATGGAACAAAATCAATGCCTAAAGTCTTGAATTAAAAAGCTTGTTGAATATCACAAACTGAAAAAAATAATACACCGTATTAACAAGTTCTTGCATTTTTTGGCGATCTTCAATCTGCAATCTATTGCTTCTCCTGCAGTTCCCGGATGTAATGTTGAATTTTAACAGTCGAATTTGATCCACTGAATTTATGGAAGCGAATATTTGAACTGAAATAAAATGAACTGAAAATTACCTTTTGAATATTATACATCGTATTTTTAAAGGGTATTAAATATTTTGTAAGTGAAATCTGAAAATTGAATATGAATTATTGAATTTTTAAGTATGAAAACATGTTTGAAATATTTTTCATTGAAATATTCAAAGCTTAAATAAACAGATATGTTAAATTTCAGGACCTAAAAATACAAACCCTGGAATTCAAGTCATTAAAATGCAAGAACTTGTTAATACGGTGTATTATTTTTTTCAGTTTGTGCTATTCAACCAGCTTTTTAATTCAAGACTTTTGGCATTGATTTTGTTCCATAATTTATGAAGTATGCTTCTCTCTCTTAAGAAAAAAAAACACTCCATCTTACTCTAGCACATAAAATCTCTGAGGACTAACAGTTCATTTGTTTAGCTAGCACTTATTGTGTGTATTGCCTCTTCTTATTGAATCACTGAATGCCTCCTCAGCTGTAAGTTGCTTTAGACAAAAGTGTCTGCTAAATGTAAATGTAAAATACATATATTTTACACACACCCACACACACACTCATACATCTATACAAACACACACACACACACACACATACATAAATATATACATAATTTTTTTTCTGAATCTGCTGCCCAGGTGCGTGTGACACAGGGTCATGAACCTCCTCATCTGATGAGTCTGTTCAAGGGCAAACCAATGATAATTCATGCTGGAGGGACGTCCCGCAAAGATGGCCAGACCAAGCCGGCTGCCACACGCCTCTTCCACATCCGGCAGAGCACTTCTAAAGCCACTCGTGCTGTTGAGGTCAGTAGCAGTCCAGATACTGCCATACATAAATCAAAGACAAGATTAAAACGTAATACAGCTTTAAAGTTCGCATGAACCGGAAGCTGCGACCGTTACTTGTTTTGTATTGTGACACAGTTCCTAGAGAAAACGGAATATTAATATTCCGAATAACATATATGTATGTAAGTAAGTTTGACACCCAGTGGTTGAACTAGGTATTGCATTCTTGGATCAAAACAAACTCAAGTGCAGGTTGCCAGATTGACCAACAGGAGCAGGTCTCCAGCTTAAAGGCTGATTTAAGTTGTGTTCTAAATAACAGCAACGGCACGCGATACAAGGAATATTTTCATATTAAAAGGAGTTTTTATCTTAAAGGTGCAGTAGGTGATCTTCCACAATGCTAACAGCTTAGCATAATTCTCTGAATCACAGTCCCTCCCCTGCCGTCTAGAGCCACGTCTCCTTAAACACGAGCATAGCAAAAGCACCCTCTCTCATGTGTTAAACTAGTGCTTGTCCGGCGGTGTGCAAGCCAAACTGACATGCTATTTCAGAGTGAATATTTAGAGTTGCATGGTAAACAAGAGACTCTGCGGAATAGCGGTATTTACTTGTGTTTTGTTGTTAAACTAATTAAAATCTACATTATCGATGCAGTAAAAGGTCCCTTATTAAACTGAAAATAGTCTTATCAATCTTTCACCGGAAGATTTTAGTGGCTGAACAACACTTCTGTGAAGATATAAACCATTTGTGACAACAACATCTAACATTACATCAGCTTTGTGTGATGCTAAAACAGTTTTAAAACAGAACATTACCTGTCTAAGAGAAATCCTTCAGCCATAGTGTCATCCTTTCTTCAGCGTGGAAAGGTAACTCTAATATTGATTCAGGTTTTTAAAAAGTTTTGATTCAGCAGGTTTTTACCGATCGCGTGCACGTGTGCTCTCTCTCTCTCGTAAACGCGCAGCACAAACAGTGGTCGACGGAGCTGCGTACAAAAGTCTGAACAGTTGTTTAAATCTGCATTTGCTGACAGACAGTTTGGCCTACTTATGGGAAATTATGAAAGATGTCAGCCTGACTCTATTTAATTTGATGAACATTTTTTAGTTTTATGCCTCACCCCGAACACAACAAAAAATGCTTCTGAAGACAATCATCAACAGCACCTTTAACCAACACCTCGACATGATATATTAGAAACAGCTTCTGTTTCTCACAGGTAAACAACAGAAAACTATGACTATGATCACCTCAGCTACACCTCGTGTGCTTTATTCAGTGTTAAATGCTTATAATGTGAGTTTGGATGCCATTTTACATGACATTTGGTGCCATATACTGAAAGCAGCAGCAGATCACCTCAGATCTGGAAAATAAAATAAACAGTTTGAAATTGAACTTTAGAACTGTGAAATAATGCAAACCAACACACATCAGTGATTGAGCATTTGATAATGTTAAAGAGGTTTAAAATATATCAATTAGATTATAAACATTACCATTTTGTGAGTGAGTGCATATTCTGTGCTTCTGAATGGCTGTTTCTGTCGTGTTTCATCTCGTGCAAAAAGCCAAATTGCTTATCACTGCAAATCTTGTCAGGTAGCGTGTTGTCAGGACACGCGGTTACAATGTAACCTGCTCACCTGATGTTTACGTTCGTAATATATATATTATTTGCTAATTAATAACCTCATGTGGAACTCTGAATCTGCATCTTATTTTAGAGTCTGCCACTTTTTTACTTTTTTACATTTCGGTCACAGATGCATGCTTCAAAACCTTTCTAAATGAATGAATGAAATGTGCTGTTATCCAACAAGACAACCCAGGCTGCTGAAAGATAAGAAATATAAGAAAATGTGTAAAACATTTCAAAAGCAGAATATTTGACTTCAGCATTGTTTTTTTAGATAAACAAGAATGTTCACTTAGCATGTTTCTCAAATATCTGCAAACATAGTATGGTATTTTTATGCTTTAGAAGAGTCAAAAACTTACATGTAATACGGTTAGAGCCCTATCATACACCCAGCACAATGTGGCACAAGGCACAACGCAATTGTTGTTTGCTAGTTTCAGCTTGGCGCAAGAGTCGTTTTGATGTGTTGCAGCACGCTGTTTAAATAGCAAATGCATTTGCGCTCATATGTGCGCCAATAGGCGTTCTGATTTAAAAAGGGAGGCGTGTTGAGGCGCATTGCTATTTTGAGAAACTACAATAGTCTGTTTTATAGACCAGAACAAAGCCGGTCTAGAGTCCAGCGCAGAGCGTGTTAGTTGTGCGCCTCGCTTACACATTGCTTAATACACACAAGATGTAAAGCAAGATGTGTTTGGATTTAACTCAGTTTTTTGAGCACACTTCGTTATTATTGTTCATTTATTCATTTGCTAGAAATTAGAACTGAATTTAGAAATAGTTTTGAAACAAATCTTTGCGCTTAACAAACAACATTAACTATTTATAGGCTAATTGATGTCTGTGTGTACAACACGTTTCCCTATCCTCGAGAGTGAAAGTGAAAGTAGATAATGAGGAGGCTCATCTCTCATTCTCGCGCTGCAGATGCTTTGTTTAACTGTTTTCTTGCTAGTGAAGCACTCAGTTTTTCCACTTACAAAGTCGCCATCTAAATAGCAAATGCGCTATAGTGAGATGCAACTGACTCTTGAAGGGAATGAGAGATGAGACTTTGATTGGTTTATTCTCAAAACACACCTATAACTCATTAAGAAAATAAACTCAACCCTTTTAGACCATGCGCCATGGCGCAAAGCAGGTTTTCCCGTCCTTAAATTAGCAAAAACGCGTTCTGACACGCCCTGAAAGCGTTTGCGCCCTGCGTTTTGCGCTCTTCGCATGGACCGTCAAAATAGAGCCCTATGTATGTAAAATCACTTTTCCTAATTTAATTTGATGTGAAACCCCTAATGGGTCAACCTATCTTTTAAATCACTCCATTTATCTTCTATTACAGGTTGAACCATCTGCAGCTAGCTTAAACACCAATGATGTGTTTGTGCTGAAGACGTCCGGAGGTGTGTTTGTGTGGAAAGGGGCAGGAGCCAGTGATGAAGAAATGGCTGCCGCCAAGTATGTTGTGAGTGTGCTTGGAGGACAATCCACAGATGTGCCAGAGGGTAAAGAACCAGGTGAGTGTCGGGACAGGTTTTTATGTGTTTTATGTATATGGTGAACTTGTTTTATACATGTCTCTGTCTTTAGAGTCATTCTGGGCGGCTTTGGGAGGGAAAAAGGACTATCAGAAATCCCCAGCTCTTCAACGTACTATCAAACCTGCACGTCTGTTTGGCTGCTCCAATAAAACTGGCCGGCTAGTTGTAAGTGAGAGTCATGTAAAGTGTCTGAAAGATATGCACTTGCAGGCTAATATGTCTTATCAAATCTGCTTCCAAACACAACACTTCAAGGCACAGGTGATAGGTTGCTGTGAGCGCAGAAGCACCTTTGTGTTTAGCACTTTTTTTTTTCAGATTTTTATTTAGTTAAATAACAAAACATAAGAAAATAGCACTCTTCCACCTAGCCAACATTACTGAGGTAAAGCGTCTCCATTATGCTTGTCTTGTTTAATGTTGGTTACTAGGTTACCATTACTACAGTCAGCTGCTCTAACAACTAGGTGGAAATGCACCTAATTCGGGATTTTTGGGATCATTTTGGGATGATTTGGGATTTTTTTTATTTGCTTTATGATAGATTTACTGATTTTAGTAGACAAAATAGTAGTCAAGTGAGCGATTTCAGACACAGTGACTGAGAGGAAAGCTGTAGTTTGTAGATGCGATGATGTCATGAAACATGAAGAGCTTGTCTTGGTCTTTCTCTCAGGTTGAGGAGGTTCCTGGAGATTTCACTCAGTCAGATCTGGCCACCGATGATGTCATGTTGCTTGACACCTGGGATCAGGTGAGTTGACACGCAGTATGTCTTCCACAGTATGAGCAGTGGTTCTCAAACATGGGGGCTGGGGCGAGGAAACGATCAAGAGACTTCGAAAATAAGACTAAACAGGCTTTATTTTTATTTATATCTTTCAATTGCGTCCTTTTAGACATAAATATTGTGGGAAAAATCTGTTAAGGGAATTTCTTTATTGATTTATTCATTCATTCATTTTCTTGTCGGCTTAGTCCTTTTATTAATCCGGGGTCGCCACAGCGGAATGAACCACCAACTTATCCAGCAAGTTTTTATGCAGCGGATGCCCTTCCAGCCGCAACCCATCTCTGGAAAACGTCCACACACACATTCACACACACACTCATACACTACGAACAATTTAGCCTACCCAATTCACCTGTACCGCATGTCTTTGGACTGTGGGGGAAACCGGAGCACCCGGAGGAAACCCACGCAAACGCAGGGAGAACATGCAAACTCCACACAACGCCAACTGAGCCGAGGCTTGAACCAACGACCCAGCGACCTTCTTGCTGTGAGGCGACAGCACTGGTTCACCTTGCCTTTATTGATTTAAATTAATACAATTTCTTTGATAAATATACATTTTTTTATTTATGTCAATCTTTAATAAAATTAAGTGAAAATTAATTAAAACCTTTATTATTTCATAGTTAAAAACAAATAGAACGGTATGTAGAGGTAAACCAAAAAGAAATAAAATAATAAAATGATAAAATAATTTTGAATGTAGGGTCACACTTTATTTTGATGGTCCGTTTGTTGAATATAAGGGCCTACTCACACTATGCCATCCGTACCGTGCCCAGGCCCGTTTCCCGGATCGTTTGAGAAGTGTGAGTGCGCTGAATCGGGCTCAAGCACGGTTCACTTGGCCGGCCCTGGCCCGGTTGGAAGAGGTGTGCCTGAGCGCGGTACACTTGGGCTTTGGCGCGGTACGCTTGTGTGTGAGCGCAAAACGCGCCAAAGCCCGAAACCGAAAGCGAGACGTGACTTTAAGGGGCTGTTTCATATGGATTTATTAATCATTGTTACTGTTCAGTGATCGCAAACTGCCGTAGTTTATTAAAGACGAGAACTCCTCACAGCATGACAGCTGCGCGCCTTCAGCAGACCTCCTCATTCCTGCAGCACGAGAGCTTTATGATCGTTTACGAGCGCCAAAAGTGGCGGATCTGTTCGGTGAAATATCTGACTGCGTGTCACCGCATCCCTAAGGACTGTTTGGCGAAATTTTTGACTGCATGTCAATGCATGACAAACGACTGAAAGGATATAACTAGAGAACTCTCCACTATGCTACTGGGTGAGAGCGTATGGCAAGCCGTTTTAGAATTTAAACCTTGTTCTGACTATCCATAAATATATTTAGAGATATAATTATATTTTGACTAGTCATAATTATAATTCGACTAGTCAGAATGACAATTAGAGATATCTGCAATTACAATTGTACAAGTACGAAATCAGATTAAAGATATCTGCAAATATATTATGACTAGTCATATTCTCCTATTGACTTCCATTGAAAAATATTTGCAGATATCTCTAACTGAGTTTTGACTCGTCAAAAATCCAATTCAAGATATCTACAACTGTAATTCGACTATTAGTAAATTAATTAGAGATATCTTCAAATATATTTGTAAATATCTCTAAATATGACGAATTAAAGACATCTCCAAATGTATTATGTCTAGTAAAAACTCAGTTAGAGATATCTCTAATTACAATTGTGACTAGTCAAAACTCAGTTAGAGATATCTGCAAATATTTTTCAATTCAATATTCAATATTTTTTCAATAGTTACATTGCATCTGCATGCCAGTTAATTCTCATTAGATCATAAGTAGACTGTTGGGTTGGGGTTAGTGTACAGTAAGTTGACATGTTCTTGCAAAGTTTCTTATAGTCAGTTAAATGTCCGAAGGAGCACTATCAACTGATATTAAGCTACTAATACTCAAATGGACCATCAAAATAAAGTGTTACCGAATGTAGTCATTGTAATTATTATATTATCTTAAAACTACGTTTGCAGCAAGTTTCTTTTTTGTTTAGGGGTAAAAAGGCACTTTAGGAAAAGCCGAACTTTGAAAAATTTAATTGAAACTGAAACTTTAAATTACATTTTGGCCTGATTTAGTTTGAAATTAATCACACCCATTTGTTCTTCACTTCTACTACCAATCTGTATTCGGGCCTTTTGTTTAACATTACATGGGAGCTCCTGGATAATGAGGGGTCTTGGAGTCAAACAGGTTGAGAACCACTAGTTTAGACTAGCTTTTAGTACTTGTAGCTATTGGCTGATAATGCTAAAAGACTGTCTCTCTTTCTAGATCTTTCTTTGGATTGGTAATGAAGCCAATGAAGTCGAAAAAACTGGGTCACCAAAAATCGGTAAGTGACAAAGTTGTTCTACTAAATGAATTTCATACAATACTATTTTAACATGTTTTTCTCTGTAGAGAAACATATTTTTTCTGGTCTTTTTTAAACCTAAAATTCAGTCTTTTTTTTTTGTTTGTTTTTTGTTAAATGCCTAAAAAAATATTTTTATTCTACAGTAAAAACTAAAGAAAGCTTAATGGTGGTGAAAGCTTTGTTTATAGCCAAACCATAGCTATGTTATCCTAATGATTAAATAGACAGCTCACAAAATGTGTAAGAATCATAAACTTTTGTTGGACGCAGAGGTTATTTTCTGCATTAAATCCGAAGCCAGTGGAAAAATCCTGTTGGCTTTTTGTTGAGAAAACCAGAGTGATGCTGATTTCCAGTTGGCCTACAAACATACAGCTGAATGATTAGACCTCTTTTATACATTTGTATACCTTTTCAAATATTTCCCAAGTGATGTTTAACAAAGTATATATATATATATATATATATATATATATATATATATATATATATATATATATATATATATATATATTAGGGCTGTAACGATACACGATATGAAATCGAAATCGCGACACTCAGATCTACGATCCTGTGTCGCGGTGTGATAAGGGAGAATCGCGACACACCCCGTGACCACCTTTCCAATAACGTCACGCGTGCCTGCAAAAGTTGAGCTAGTTGAAGAAGAACGTGAGGAAACACTTTTTTTTCGCTCGACATTACGAGCACTGCTCCGTTTAAGCCCTCGCAATAAGCGTTTAGCCGGGAGAGCTCGCACGGAGCTCTTAGTAAGGGACCGTCTGAATGTGTCAGGAATATCAAAAACAAAACCAACGTAACCCCGCTTGACAACAGACAACAGCAGAAACATTGCCAATGCTGTCAAAGCATTGTTGTTAATGTGGCTGCGCAGAGAGGGATGAGCGTTCACCAGATGCCCCGACTCCTCTGCAGAGGAAACTTTTCTGTAACCGTGCTGTGCACTTTCTGTTTGAACCTTTGGGAGTTAACGTTACGTGCTGACTGACAGGTGCGCGATGCGTGAGGCCAGGAAACAGGACGAAGCTTCAGTTAAGATGAACACAGTTTCTATAGTTATACTTTATTTATAGATAAAGGTATATGGCTCTGTATATAATCACTCTATCATGCTGGAGTTTATAGCTGTTTCGCTTTACTTCAGGACGCATTAACACCGCTCTGAAGGTCTAATTGCTGTTTTAAGTTATCCAGAGCTGTATGAATGTACAAATCTTGAATATCACAATATTATTAAATATTACAATTGTAACAACACAGACAGCAACACTTATGCACAATCGATACCCAGCTGATTCAGTCGTTTCATAAGAGGGCCGCGCTTCCTCTCTTCTTTTTTCCTTGTCAACATAAAGGCAGTGAGGTGCGCCTTGTTTTCGGCTAATAAAGCATGTATGCAGATTAATGCAATAGCATATTTAAACAACAAAACTGTTTACAAAGTCTACATATAAGTCTACATAACTCATATTGTCTTTTCATCACTCAGCGCGCACTTGAACCGCGAGGGAGAGAGAAGAAACCATCAGGACATATTCTTTAAAATAAAGATTTCTATTAAAAATGTAAAAGGTTTTGTTATTATAATAATAACAGCGGGGCATTAAATATATGCATATTTTCCGTGGAGCGGGCAATTTAAGGAAGTCTGCGATATTTATTTGACGGAAGAAAAAACATGATTGGAAAAAAACAGCCTATGCCGGTTATTAAAAAGAATCAGTCAGTATTTTCGTTTTGTAATATAAATTAATTATTTAAATGAAAATAATTTAGGGCAGTCCTATTTATTTTATTCATTTTATTTAGATTATTCTGCTCTTCTGTGCTAAACACTGCCGGTGCGTGAAGACGCTCTGTTGTTATGTTCCGTTATTAATATGCTAGCATTTAAAAATAAATCAGTAGCCTATTTTAAAATGCAATATTTAATGTGTCAGACACAAAATAGACACGTCAATTTATTTAATATAAAATTAATAGTAATCTCACCAGTTAACTGTTAACCGATTAATGAGCGGCGGTTGTCAGTTAGCAAAATTAACCGAAATGAGCATCCCTAGTAGCTATTTAATTTACTTTTTCTATGTAAGAGAACTTGATTGAAAAAGAATTTTCAACATGCTTGAACCATCTACACAATGGAGTTCAGTTCTGTTTAGTTTTTCAACAGTATTTTGTTATAAAGAAAACAAAAGTGATATAGCTTTGGCTATTTATTTTATATATGGCTATTTATATTGTTAATAATTTGCATAGTTAATATTGTTCTTTGATGTTTAGTTTATAAAGATTTTTCGAATGTTATTTAATAAAAAATAGTTTTAAAAATCTTTTTTTTCCCACCCCACACGAAAAAAAAAATCGTGACACGAACCGAATCGTGGGTCAAAAATCGTGATACGAACCGAATCGTGGGTTTGGTGTATTGTTACAGCCCTACTATATATATATATATATATATATATATATATATATATATATATATACTTACAGAACAAACCACTGCTGTCCAATGACCTGCCTATTTAACCAAGTTAAGCCTTTATATTGCAGTGCACAGACTAGTAATTTGCTAAATATTAAGTAAACTATAATGTGATCATGACAAAGACAAATAACATGAGTCATTAAAACTTTACTGATTTAAAATGTGTTGAAAAAAGTCTCTCCTTTAAACAGCACTTGGGAAAAGAATTCAAATTTTACAAGAGCATTTTGCAATTTGCAAGAATTTTGCCTTTAAATGTACAGTTGAAGTCAGAATTATTAGCCCCCCGTTTATGTTTTTCCCCAATTTCTGTTTAACGGAGAGCAGATTTTTTCAACACATTTCTAAACATAATAGTTTTAATAACTCATTTCTAATAACTGATTTATTTTATCTTTGCCATGATGACAGTAAATTATATTTTACTAGATATTTTTCAAGAAACTTCTATACAGCTTTTAAAGGTTTAAATAGGGTAATTAGGGTGAAATTTAAAGGCTTAAATAGGGTAATTAGGCAAGTTATTGTGTTAGTAAACACATCCACCCACTGTAAAAAGTGATTACTTAAAAAATGTGAGTAAAACCTATTGTAACTGGCCACTTTTAAGATTTATTTTTGATCATTTTATGCTATCAGTTGTGTTTACTCCCTTTTATAGGTAAATAACCATATTGTAAGTTGAGACCATTGTTTCAAACAACTTAAAATGTCAACACTGCAAAAAAAGCATTTCTTAGATTTTTTGTCTTTTTTCTAGTCCAAATATCCAAAAATCCTTATATCAAAAAGCATTTTCTAGGCAAGCAAAACATATTTTCTTGTTTTAAGAAATAATATGCCAAAATTAAGAGAGTTTTTCCTTAGAACAAGCAAAATAATCTGCCAATGGGGTAAGCAAATTAATCTTGTTTTTCCTTTTGACTTAAGATTAATTTGCTAACCTCTTTGGCAGATTATTTAGCTTGTTTTAAGAAAAAACTACTTTAATTTTGACATATTATTTCCTAAAACAAGACAGTATGTTTTGCTTGTCTAGAAAATTCTTCTTGATTTGAGAATTTTTTGATATTTTGATTAGAATCAAGACAAAACATTAAGAAGGAAAATAATTTTTTTTGCAGTGAATAAAAGTCACAGAATTAAAGGGACGACACTGAAAATGGTCAGGGCAGAGATCAAGCTCCCCTAATGCAACTTAAATCCATGAATAAGGAGAAAGTCTAGTAGAATCCAACTGTTAATTAACAGATATGTTAACAGTCTAGCTCTCTATACACTGTAAAAAAATACTGGGTTTTACACAATTGCTTCAAGTTGTCCCAGCATGGTCACACTTTACAATAAGGTTCATTAGTTAATGTTAAGTAATGCATTTACTAACATGAACAAACAATGAACAATACATTTACTACAGTATTTATTCATGTTAATTAACGTTAGTTAATGAAAATACAGTTGTTCACTGTTAGCTCATGTTAACTCAGGGTGCGTTAACTAATGTTAACAAGCATGGACTTGAATGTTAATAATGCATTAGTAAATGTTCCATTATGATTAATAAATGCTGTACATGTGTTGTTCATGATTAGTTCATGTTAGTAAATGCATTAACTAATGAACCTTATTGTAAAGTGTTACCCCCAACAGAAATTAAACAAAGTTAACGTTAAATCATTTTTACAAATTTAAGTGGATTGAACATAAAACAATTAAGTTGTCCCAAAAAAACCTCAAGAATTGTGCAATTGACCAAGCATTACAAGTGATTTTTAAGTATATTGTGTAAAGTATCTGCATACTGAGTATGTGTTCTGTGTTTAGCTAAAGATTATGTGGAGTCTGATCCCGCTGGCCGTTGCGGGCTGGCCATTACTACCATAAAGCAGGGGTCCGAGCCTCCAACCTTCACCGGGTGGTTCCACGCGTGGAATGCAAACCTGTGGGACACCGACGCTCTGGCCAAAATCCAGGCTCGCTTTTGAACCCAGTACTGCGTCCTTGTCTTTTCGTATACAAGCACTTCCTGTTCCTGTGCCATGAATTGCAGCTTTCTTTCAGATTGTTGAACTGCCCGTCTCACTTTAAGGTGCACTTTGTATTTTTGGGGGGCTTTACATTCTTGTTTGCCAAAAATGGTAGTGGGGATCGGATGTATCTAGTATGGATGTAACTTGCCATCATAGAAATGAAATCAAATAGCTTATTTAGTTCTCGTCAAACAAACAGTTTATATTTTAAAAGAGAGAAAATTAAGTTTTTTTTTTTTAAGTTAGTCTATTTAACTACAGTTTTATTGAGCATAAAGTCATATAAAATGGATTTTTAGTTGTGTACTTAAAGATCTGGCTGTGAGAATTGTCATTTTTTAAAATGCACTCATAATAGTAAATTAAAGTCGCCCTATGATGCCCTTGTGATTTTGCTGAAAGTCTTTTGACTATTTATTTGGTTTCTCTGATTTTTAAAACCTGTTTACATGTTAGTAAAATTTCTTTTTCTTTCTTTCTTTCTTTCTTTCTTTCTTTCTTTTTTTTTTTTACACACAAGCCACTGATATGTTTCCAGCTTGTACTTTGATGTTATGTTAAATAAATTTTGAGTTGGTTTTGCTGTACATTTATCTTATTTGTATACACAAACTTAACAAGATTATACAGCGGGTTTTTTTCCCCACAAAGATTCTTTCAGTTAATCAAAGGTATAAAAAGTGTATTTAAAATAAAGTTTCCGCTGAAATATTAAACTGTCAACAAGAAACATTTATCATTAAATCATAATATCAAAATATTTCCTCAAGGTTCACTTGACACTGAAGAAATACTGAAAATTCAGCATAAATGATATTAAATTAGAAGCCAGGTATTTTATATTAATAGTTCACCTTAGTGAGCAGAAGACACTTTTAAAATCTTTTTACAAATTTGACCTACTCCAAAAGTGGTGAAAGATTTAGTAAAAGATGCCATAGAACGAACATCTATAGATATACTCTCAAGCTAAATATTTAGAGTTCAGTATATGGAAATGGTATTCTGTGAGCCTCAAACACTATCATTTCCTTCTTAAAAATCCTACTCAGAACAAATTTACATTGGGTCATTAATATGAATGGGCCCATGCAGCGTTTGATTGGCGAAAACCCCTCATTTTGAAATTATCTAAGCTTGTATTTCTCTTACTATATAGACCTTTTTCATGGCTGCTGCATGGCGGGCACCATAGCGACCAGCGTCTTCCGGTAGAATGCTAAAAACTTCCGTTTACAGCGTGTACAACTGGTAATTTGCGCTCCGAAAATGGGTTTCAATAACGTTTTTAATGGGTAACAGAGTGTTTTTGTGACAAAACTTGGAAATGTGTCTGTTAAAGCCGTTATAATCTGTCAAGTGCGGTTCAAGCGCATCAGAAATACGAGAAAAATGTTCTCCTAGTTCACGTGTCTGCCGTTAGAAATACAGTGTGTGTTCCCGGCCTGTCAGCTGTTAGCTCAGCGGCTCTTTAACACACATACACACACACACACACACACACAGAGAGAGAGAGCAAACCAGAGTACTGGCATGAAACTTAACAGGTATGAAAGTCGAGCAATTTACAAAAATGACCAATAAAAGTCTGTTATTGATCCTCTGCTGGCTGATTTGCTGTTCATTCTAATCGCGAGCCGTTTGTGTTTTATTTCGTGTGTTGTTTTTACCACGGTTTGTGTTTTTCTGTCATTTCGAAATGACACTAGCCTATATTTTCACTTTGTCACAGTTATTAAATCAGTGTGTCAGTGGCACAGTACAGGCTACGTGTGTGTGTCAAACATTTTGGTGAATTACATTTGTTTGGGCTGGTTATATATATGAAATAAAGAGAAAATGTTGACTTTAGCGATGACGAGGATTCATTTAAACTGCAGAAGATGCTGTCTGACAACGAGGGAAAAATGCCTCACAGCATCTGTTTTCCATTCCATCCTATTAGATCGCATTTCTTTAAATGATCAGTCCAGGAGATGGTGCTGATGGACAACAGAATTAGTTCAAAGAGGCTAAAAGCAGGTAAAATAGATTAAAACTATCGTTTCAAAGCTGTCCAAATGTGACTGTTTACACGCATCAGCTGCCGACCGGAAGTTCTTCGCATTCTCCTTGCGCATACACACAAAGCATAATGGGTAATTTTGCATTCCAAGAAAAAGGTCTATACATATATATATATATATATACATGTGGGACTCTTATTTTGAAAACGAGCAAGTAGTTTTGTGAAGCAGGCAACCATGCATGACCACAAAGTGTTTATAGCTTGTTAGAATGCAAAATGCAGGATATACAGATTAAATATGTATTCAATGCCACCATGAAGAGGCATAAGGCCTGTCTAAATGTCTGCTATGTTAAGCCCTGCTAACACTGTGAGATTTCAGCCATGATTTTATTATCTGAGATAAATTTGGGAAATCCTAAAAGATTCCTGAAATCCTAGGCTAAAATCGGTGATCTTTGATTGTTGGTTTGACATGTTCACAGAACAACAGCTGCTTAATGCCCATTTAGATCAGATTTTTTCTCCGATGAAGTTCTGGTAGTTGTATGAAGTATGTGTGTGTGTTAGATTCAAGCCCTGACATGAGCTGCTGGGGCTTCAGATCAGAGCTCATTAATATTCACATTTTCCAAATATGGTCAAAACCAACCATACCATATTAGGACCAGAGGAGTTCTGCACTTCCACCACATACCTTCTATGTAGATATCAGAGAACAATTAAACATAATATGTAGTATTAATGCATTATGGCTTCTTTAAAATATTTACTTTGTCTTTCATTTATTCCATCTACCATTCCATTCCATTTATTCCCTCAGTGTTTATTTAAATTAGGATCCCAGTGAACATATCACTATGTTTATCTGTTACACCTTCAGTTAGACTTTAAACAGCATCACGTGATGATAAAGTCATGATAAGTCACAGTCCAACATGACTAGATCTCACTTTAGACAATGCTGCTCTTCTCTTTGCTTTAATTATTTAGTTATTTTTTCAGTTTTCTCTAAACTAACAAAATCTGCTTGGGTGACACATCTTGCCACAAAAACCAAGCCTTTCTGACACCGCCATCTTCCTTCAACCCATTTTAACAGCAGAATGATGACTCCTGACCTGTGTTGTTCTCTGGGGATCCACAGCTCAGATTTTATATGTGAAAATGTTTCTCAGGGAAGCTCCTAGGGCTGCTACTTTGAAAAACCGACCAGATAAAAAATGTCTGACCAATGTAACCTTCAGGTAATTACAATATATATATATATATATATATATATATATATATATATATATATATATATATATATATATATATATATATATATACAAACTCAAAACAAATATGCAGTTATGCAGTTGAAATCAGAATTATTAAACCCCCCTTTGAATTGTTTTAATTCAAATAATGTTTAACAGAGCAACGAAATTTTCGCAGTATGTTTGATAATATTTTTTCCTCTGGAGAAAGTCTTATTTAAATTATTTCGGCTAGAATAAAAGCAGTTTTTATTTTTTTAAATCCATTTTAAGATCAAAGTTATTAGCACCTTTAAGCTATTTATTTTTTCGATAGTTTAAAGAAACACATCGTTATACAATGACTTGCCTAATTGCCCTAACCTGCTTAGTTAACCTCATTAATCTAGTCAAGCCTTTAAATGTCACTTTGAGCTGTATAGAAGCGTCTTGAAAATATGTAGTCGAATATTATTTACAGTTGGCATTTCTGTGTGGAGTTTGCATGTTCTCTGGTTTCCCCCACAGTCCAAAGTGATGACCCCAAATTAATAAGAGGACTACGCAGAAAAAGAAAATGAATGAAAGAATAACCTATCATATTTAGAAATGTGTTGAAAAAATCTTCTCAGAATCTAGGGGAAAAAATAAATACGGGGCAAATTATTCAGGGGGTTTAATAATTCTGCAACAGTATATATGAAAATTATTAGCCACCTTGTTTATTTTTTCCTTCTTTTTCTGTTTAACAGAGAGAAGATTTTTTTTTCAACACATTTCTAAACATAATAGTTTTAATAATTCATTTCTAATAACTGATTTATTTTATCCTTGCCATGATGACAGTAAAAAATATTTCATCAGATATTTTCAAGGCATATATAGATTAAAGTGACATTCAAAATCTTAACTAGGTTAATTAGGTTAACTAGGCAGGTTAGAGTAATTGAGAAAGTTATTGTATTACGATGGTTTGTTCTGTAGAATATTGAAACAAATTGCTTAAAGGGGCTAATAATTTTATCGTTAAAATGGTGTTTAAAAAATTAAAAACTGCTTTTATTCTAGCCAAAATAAAACAATTAACATTTTCTCCAGAAGAAAAAATATATTATCAGACATACTGTGAAAATTTTCTAGCTCTGTTAAACATTATTTGGGAAATATTTAAAAAAGAGAAATAAATTCAAAGGGGGATAATAATTCTGACTATATAATATAAAACATGTTTGTTAATTTACAGTTTCAAAGTGTTTTCCATTACGGTTTTAAATTACATTATGGAATGTTGATCTCTGCTCGGTCGACATTTAATATAAAAAATTCAACTCTACAGTTTAACAGAGTGACTTTTATTGTCATTTTAGTAGTTTGAAATAATATATGGAGAAGCAAGTCTGTAAAATAAACAGAAAAAGTACTGGCAGCTTATTACAAGGCTTTTGTGGCATAATATACAACACCTACCAGACAATATTTCACTTTTAAAATATGAATAAAAGTCACTTTTTCAAGGTTAAAGCTTGTTGGAAGAACGATCAAAGTCTCAATGCAATTCAAAAGCATAAATAAATGGGAAAAAATAAAAACATGAATCACAAAATGCAAAAAAAAAAATTTTTTACGGATTTCTTTTATTTTACCAAATCTGCTTCTTTGAATTTCTCATGAGCTCATTTCCTTCTCGATTCATTTTTTTTTCTTAAAGGGAAAGTTCACCAATGAATGAAAATTCTGTCATCATTTGTTCTCCTTTTACTTGTTCCAAACCTTTATGTTTTCTTCTTTTGTTGAACACAAAATAAGATAATTTGAAGAAAGATTAAAAAACATGTAACCATTGACTTCCGTTGTATTTGTTTTTCCTACTATGGAAGTCAATAGTTACAGGTTTTCAGCTTTCTTCAAAAATATTGAGTGACTAGCGAGTTTACAATTTGTTTTTGAATGAACTGTCACTTTTAATATTTGCTATTGTCTTGACTAATGTAACCTTCTTTAGTGGAAAAATCCAATTAATCTTCAAAATATATTCGTACAACTAAAGAAAAAAATGACTCTGCTTATATGTACATATTAGGCAAGTATAAGTAATCATAATTAAATGACCCAAAATGAAAAGTATTCTCTTACTTGACCTAAACAGCAGAAAAGTTATTTAATTACAATAACTAATTACACCCAACACTGCATGACCCACCTCAGAGTTAAACATTTAGCAGGGGAAGGAGGCTGGAGTGAAGCAGCTCTGTGTTATTGTCATGTTCTGCATGGGAGCTCTCTCTCTCTGTCTCTCTCTCAGACTCGCTTTTGCCTCCAGCACCATCTGAAAAATTCATCGAATTGCATAATTTTAGCCACATAGCTAAGAGCCTGTCGGTGAATGTTGTTCTGTAGAAAGTTTCATCAACTCCGGTGGCAGTTGTGCAGTTTTCAACTGAGAATAATTGTCATCATTAAAGTTTTATATAGTATTAATAATTTACGTTTGTCCAGAGCAACGTACGACTTGGTACAATAGTTAACAAAGCAACAAAAGTATAAAATTTGCAATTCATATAAGTAACTTTTTCTCTCTCTCTTTATATTCAAATATTTGAGCTAGGGTGAAGCAGTGGCGCAGTAAGTAGTGCTGTCGCCTCACAGCAAGAAGGTCGCTGGGTCGAACCTCGGCTCAGTTGGCGTTTCTGTGTGGAGTTTGCATGTTCTCCCTGCGTTCGCGTGGGGGTGCTCCGGTTTTCCCCACAGTCCAAAGACATGCGGTACAGGTGAATTGGGTAGGCTAAATTGTCCGTAGTGTATGAGTGTGTGTGTGAATGTGTGTGTAGATGTTTCCCAGAGATGGGTTGCGGCTGGAAGGGCATCCGCACATTCACACACACACTCATACACTACAGACAATTTAGCTTATTCAATTCACCTGTACCGCATGTCTTTGGACTGTGGGGGAAACCCGGAGCACCTGGAGGAAAACCCACGCGAAGGCAGGGAGAACACGCAAACTCCACACAGAAACGCCAACTGAGCCGAGGTTTAAACCAGCCACCTTCTTGCTGTGAGGCGACAGCACTACCTACTGCACCACTGCCTCGCCCATAATAATATTAATAATAATATTAACAATAATAATTAGAATAATATTAATAATAATAATTACATTAATAATAATATGAATTATAACAACAACAACAATAATAATAATAATAGCAATAATAATAATAATAATAATAATAATAACATTAATAATAACAAAACCACAACAACAATAATAATAATAATAATAATAAACCACACTGGAAAAAACTTTCATACATGCAATAAAAAAATTTGGGTAATAGTTCACATATAAATTTGATCACTTGAGCCAATGAAAAGTAAATCATTTTCCTAAAACAATATTTTCTATCTTCATGAGAGCAGTTTTATATAACCTGGTACACAGCATATTTGTCTTGTTGAAGAAAGTCAGTTATTTGAAATTCTTGTTTTGTTCTAAACAAGACAATATAAACTGTAAAAAGTGATGAGTTACTTAAAGCGAGTAAACCAATTGCCTTAAAAGCAACACGTTGACTTTACAAAATTAAATTAAGTAAATCCAATGCAACCTGGAACTTTTAAGTTGGCTTAATTATAATTATGCGAATTGTACTTAAAAAAAGTAAACTAATCAATTTTTTCGCAATACACCTTTATTGTATTGATTTTTTCCCCTAGCTTTTTTGTATTTACACTCAGAAATGAAGGTACGAGGCGAACTGTTACTGGGGTGGTATTTCAAAAGGTACACATTTGTACTTGAAGGGTACATATTGGTACCTAAAAAGTATATATTAGCACCTAAACATTTTAAGAGGAACACTTTTGTACTCTATGTACCAATATGTACCCTTAAGGTATTAATATGGACCTTCTAGGTACAAATTTCTTTTGAAAAGGTACCACCCCTGAGACAATTCATGTACCTTTATTTTTGTGAGTGTAGCAAAATGATAGAGTAAAATAAATCTGCTCTTCTAGACTCCATGGTGTCTTCTAAATGCAATACAGACTATAATTAGATTTTATAGACTTAGTGAAGCTCCAAATATGTAATATTGTGATAATTACAATTAATTATTTGGAAACAGACTTGCTAAAAATAGTCTGACACTGTAAAAAAGGATTAGTTTGCTTTAAAAAAAAAAAAAGAAAAAAAATATGATTTGCATAATTATACAAATTAAGTCAACTTAACAGTTCCAAGTTGCAATGGGTTTAATTAAATTACTTTTGTAAAGTCAACGTATTGCTTTTGAGGCAATTGGTTTACTCGCTTTAAGTAACCAATCACTCCAGTGTAGCTTCAATCAAAACGTTCATTCATGCATTTAAAAAAATATTTCAGGTAATGGTTTCACATTGTAACGAGGAGACTGACACGGAGGGATCCATTATATAGTATTTATTAATCACACTCTTACTCAAACATTCAATATGCACAAAGGTGCAAACACACATCAACAGTAGCAACAATGGTCTCAAGGCTGGCGGCTGACAGACACAGAGTGATTACCAGGCATGGGTCAGAGGCAGGCGGCATGATTCAGAGTCCGTGTATCAGGCCTGGGTCGTGGGCAGGCAGACTTCGCACTGAGTGAATGTTTGAGTGCGGCTTATAAAGGGTACGTGGGTCGTTAACTGGGATTCAGTTCAGGTGTATGCACAATCAGTCTAGGTGGATGATGTAATGCTTAGAAATCCGGGGATGGCGGCCTCTGCTGGCCAGCGAGGGGAATGACTGGGACCGAGTCGGTGACACACATCTAAATTTGATTACTAGGACCAATAAAATATAAATCATTTGCCTTAAAAAAAATTTTCATGGCCATAAAAAGTACAAAGCATATTGAGTTTCTGTTTAATACACATACACTGGCCTGCTTAAGTAACCTTCAAATTTTACATTGGTCAAAACAAATATTTCTTAGTTGAGCTCTTAATAAAAAAAAAGATGTAAATATATTTAAAGAGTTCACACTTAGCTGATGATTTATAAAAGCTTGTTTGGCATGCTGTCCCGGGAGAGAGCCCCGAGCTCAAGGGCTCCTCGAGCCCGGGGCTTCCTCCCGTTGGCAGAGCAAGAGGGGAGCCTGAGCTCGGTGGATCTCAGAACTCCCCTGCTGCGGTAGCTAAGGGAACACAAGGGGTTAGACAAAAGCTTGGTTGTTATGTATGTTGAATGTCTTGGGATGGTGGGAGGAAACCGGAGAACCCGGGGAAAACCCACGCGGACACGGGGAGAACATACAAACTCCACACAGAAACACCCACCGGTCCAGTGGAACCAGGGCTGGCAGTGTTCTTGCTGTGGGGCTCACAGTGCTAACCACTGGGCCGCCATGCCGCCCAATCAGAGGTAAAGGAGGCGAATAGGGGAGGAGGGGGGTTTCTTCCAAACGAAGATAAAGTGAACTGAAAACTGTGGCTATTTATAGTAGCTTAGGGCTCATATGATTGGAAGATAGTGATTAGCAAATGAGATACCGGCCGTGATAAATCATAAGCACGTGATCCTCTCGAAATTAGTTTATGAATAAACTTCACATAAATATAAAACAAATAATGTCAAATTGAAATGAAAGAGGACAACGTAGTTCCAGAGTGGGTAGCACGTTTAACTCACAGCAATAAGATAATAATAAGATAATAATCAAACGGCTTTTCTGTGTGGAGTTTGCATGTTCTCCCAGTGTTCTTTCCGGTTTCCCCCACAAGTTCAAAGGCATGTGGTATAGGGGAATTGGGTAGGCTAAATGTCCATATCGTATGAGTGTGTGAGGATTTTTTCAATGATGGGTTGCAGCTGGAAGGGCATCTATTGTGGCGACCCCGGATTAATAAAGGGACTAAACCGAAAAGAAAATGAATGATTGAATAAAATGAAAGATTGGATGAAGTCTGCTTGAATAGGAAAAATGTTATTATAACTTTTATTGTTGTTGTAAATGTGTTTGTTTATTATTGATTGACATTATTATTATAATAATAATATTATAATAATAATATTGTTTCAGTGTTTCAGATGTGATTTAGTGTATAAACAATGCAATTGTTTTTATTATTACTTTTACAATATACTGTAGGTATAATTATTATAACTATTATTGTTGTTGATGTAAATGTGTTTGTTTATAACTGATTGACATTATTACAACAACAACAACAACAACAACAACAACAACAACAACAACAACAACAACAACAACAATAATACTATTATTAATCTGGGGTTGCCACAGCGGAATGAACAGCCAACTTATCCAGCATATGTTTTACGCAGCTGATGCCCTTCCAGTTGCAACCCATCTCTGGAAAACATCCATGCACACTCATACACTATGAACAATTTAGCTAGCTTACCCAATTTACCTGTACGGCATGTCTTTGGACTGTGGAGGAAACTGGAGCATCCGGAGGAAACCCACGTGAACGCAGGAAGAACATGCAAACTCCACACAGAAACGCCAACAAACCCAACCGAGGCTCAAAACAGCGACCTTCTTGCTGTGAGGCGATAGCATTACCTACTGCTCCACTGCGTCGCCTATTGTTATTATCATTATTATTTTAATTATTATTAAAAAGCTCTTAATATCTTTGTCCAGTCTACACATTTTTTTCTAAATCAGTGTTCATAGATATTTACATTTATTTCTATGATCAGAGCAACGTCAGCTTATTGTCAATGCTGCCGCAAATACAGACTTAGGAAGAATTGAAATGACATGAAATGTGCTTCGTATCAAACTATCAAACAAATGTTTTTCATACACAGTCTTAAAATGAAAACCGCTGAAACCCTAAAAATTCACCTCAAAGTTTCGCACATCTGGCGGAGAGCCTGGCCGTGTGACGTCACGTGCACTTTCCTCGCTTGAGTTCCTGATGCAGGGCGGGTCACGTGGTCGCTCCCTTTCCCCTAAAGTTCCCTAGGAAGCGCGCAACGCAGGCAATTGACTAGGGTTTGAGACGCGCTCTCAATCTCGGGCAGCGCACTGGTCCACCTGGATGCCGTGAATTTCGCCTGCTTGCTTTCAATCCTGTCTGAAGACGCACTTTGAAAATGGCTGGGGCAATTATTGAGAATATGAGCACCAAAAAGTTGGTGATTCTGGGAGTGATTCTCATGTTATTCCAAGCGTTTTCCTTTATGGTCGGAGGGCTGATTGGTGAGTAGCTACTTTTACAGATCTGTCTTGATTTGATAGTTCGGGCTTTGTTGGCGTCTGGTGCACAGTGTGTTTCCAGTTTGGTGGTTTTGGCCAGAATAAAGAGTCTTCAGGGAAGCGGCGAAAAGTTGCGGAATGGCTTTGTTACAGGAGTGTCAAAGATGGGCGCTTATTTTCACCCGTCGACTGCTGCAGTCTTTGTGCTGCTGCTGCTCTCCGTGTTCCGCCTGAAGTTTAAGAGCAGACCCGACTGTGATTTTTTTTTTCTCGGTATTTTGAGCCTTGATGAATCTTTTTGTATTCGGCTACCTGTAAATGCCACGAGGAACTGGACGGAGAGACACTCGAGGCTTGTTTAAAGCCAGTTCAGCTTGAATTTGACTATAAAACAGTGTATTTGTCGTTCACTTTTGCTCAGGGTAAAACACATGTATAATTATTTGGCAGTTTTTTGTAACGTTACTGTATGGAAAAATCGTTTAATTAATCGAAACAAATTAAACAACTTTTAAATCACGTTAAAAGGATAGTTAACCTAAAAAATAGTAATTTAACGTTACTCACCCTTTAGTGGTTTCAAACCTTTAGGAGTTTCTTTATTCTACACCGAAGAAGATAATTTGTAGAAAGCTGAAAGCCTGTAACAGTTGACATTCATAGTAGGAAAAACAAAGGAAAGTCAATGGTTACAGGTTTCCAAGTGTTCTTCAGAATATCTTCTTTTCTGTTCAACAGAAGAAAAAAGCTGTAAAGGTTTAGACCAAGTGAGGGTTTGAAAATGATTACAGAATTTATTTTTGTGTTAACTATCTCTTTAACTTAAAGTTTTTCTTGTAAACTAAGAGAACCTTAATATGGTAATTAAGCAACAACTTCACAACCAGTCATAGTATGATATTATGGACCTTTTGACTGTGGCTAAGTTGCTTAACATTTCTTTTAACAACAAGGTTTATAAAAATTGATAATTTTAATGACATTTATATGCTCCAAAATTGGCATTCAAGAATCAAAACAAGTGTAATAGCTTTATTTATTCCCCACATGAAAATATGATCTCTTTTATAACTTTTTTAAACACTTTTTAAAATTCTGTTGCTAACATAAGGAGGATTTTTTTAAAAGGTTTAGTTCTAAAGTTGTTGTTTTGGAAGAAAAATAATCTTATTAAAGATTATTATAAAAAATCCTCTCATTTTGGAAATGTCTAACCTGACTTTTGCAACTAATATAGCCATATATGGATTAAATTACGAAATAAATTATGACCATTTATGCGCATGTTTAGATAAGTACATTTTAAAATAAATATTTAAATTTGCATTCTTCTATGACAAAAATCTCATCTTTGTCTCATGCTATGGTAACTTGTGCCAGTCTTGCAGAAAAGAGGACACTTTTCAGCCATTAAAGGGTTAAAGGAGGTGCATCTGTAGAACTTTTCTTTGATCTTCCCTCTGAACAGACAAGCCCTCCCTTCCTCTGTGCCCCCTAGCTCTTCCAGCTCCTGCTTTCTGACAAACATTCTTGTTTTGTTGCCTTTTTTGATAGTACTCATCCAGAATTTCCCTCCTGAGTGTTCTTTTCCATTTAAATTGTTCCATCTAACTATAACAGACTTCAAACCTCAGACTTGCTTTTTGGTTTAAATAGGAAAGGAATCGTTTCTGGGTCTCTTGCAGAATTTGGATAAATGGTGATAAATTAGCTTGCTTTGGCTATTCTTGCCTGCGATTGATTTAATGAAGCAGGATTCCTTTGTGTTTGTTCGGTGGCTGGTGGCAGCCGGGGTAATTGAGTAGAAAGGCACGCTGCTTGCCCTGTTATTGGACATCTAAAACACGGCATGAGGTCACCGGGCCGAAAGGCCACTATCATTTTTATGTTGGGATTTTGAGATGGTTAGATCTTCGAATTATGGCTCAATGAATAATTGAACTCAGAGACTGTTAATTTAGGTCATTTTGTTTGTTTAATGTGAGCTCCAATTGAGAGAAGAGCAATTTGTAAATACCTTATTAGCCTTTCGGATTTAACATTTTTAATAGTGCTCTCGCTTATGTAAAAAAAGACATCCAAAAATATTTTTTGCTGTTAATCTCAAGCCATTCAAGATGTTGCTGAGTATTTTTCTTCAGGAGAACAATAAAGACGATTTTTTAACTGGAACTGTGGTTTTTGGTGATTCGTAAAAGGCAAATGTGTGTCTAAATGTACTCGCAGAACCAAAAAAGCATATACAGTCAAAACAAAATTAGTGCCTATGGCTCTTGATGATACATTGAGTGCTTATGAAGTGAAATGATTGGTCTGTGCTGTAAAGTTAACGTTATTTACAACATTGTTACCTTTAATTCACATCCTTGTCAAACAATCCTGAACATGTTCATGACAACCTGAAGCTTTCCGTCCAGGGGCGGTCTGGCCATCTGGCAATTCTGGCAAATGCCAGAAGGGCCGGACCAATTTTTAAATGTGGGCCGTTGAGTTTTTTTAAATTTTTTTATATGTATTGTTTTTAAGTGAAGACAGCTTTTATCTCTTGCTAGATGCTATTATGATGATGATGATAATAATAATAAATGTTAAGCATTTGGCCCAATCGGCAATTGCCGCCTGGTTTTAAGATGGGCCGACCCAATCCGAGGTTACCTGGACATAATCAAAATCTGGCAAGAATGTCATATTATTTCACCATCTGTACACCAAAAGGCTGCAGGCTAGTTTACCCGCTGTAGAATTGGTCAATCCAGGATGAAGTTTTTCATCTAAAATAGTAAAAATCTCCTAAGAGAGATATTATAGCGGCCTCCTGATGGTGAATGCAGTTAAACTCACGGATGGTATTATTTGGTAGTTTGGTCATTTATTTCACTAATTTGGCAAACGTCATCAGGGAAACGGTTTAAATTTACGGTTGGTAAAAAAATAAATTAGTGCTCCGTTTGGGATGGCACTACTTGCATATACTATACTATTGAGTTACACACATGCATGAGTGCATTGTGTATGTTGTGCCATTTGTGACTCAGCTTGTGATAGTAATACAAAAAATGTGTTAGTAAATATACTTGGGCGGCTGTTAATACACCTGGGCGGCCCACCCAAGTAAAGTCTATGTGTGGGAAGCAATGGAATTGCATTAAGATATGATATTTTAGATATAGACAGGCCTCATGATGTAATACTAGTTGTTTACAAACAAAAAAAGAAGACATCCTATTAAACTGTATAGTTCTATTCTGAGATAAAAATTTAATATACATTTATTAAATTTTTTTTAATCGTCCATGAATAAATGTCATGTTTTAAAAACATTGGATACTTTAAGTCATTATTTGGTGCTGAGCAAAACATCTTGACATGTGAAAGCTAACGAGGCAAATCAGGATGTTCAGTTGAATGTTATGCTACTGGTATAGACATGTCAAATTGGTTTTAAATATAACATGATCATATTGATGTCTGATTATTAAATTTAAAGCCTGGCTCAGACTATTTCTGTATTTGAATCTTTGTGCCACTGGGATCTCTGTGTGAGTGACGAGTGTTTGTGTGCTTCAGTGCCGCACATTGATTTGGATGGTAATTATTTATATTGTGGCTTTTCCCAAGTGAAAAGTAGATTTATTTCTGACGTATCAGCAGCACAGCACACACACAATCATCACATTTTTGAGTGAACTTTTGAGATAGATTTTCTAGCCCGACTGAAAAAGCAAAGCCCGTGGACTTCAGGCTACCGGATTTTGCGAGCCCTGGAGTCTATTTAATAACAGCTAATAATACAAGGTTTACACGTAAGCAGAAGAAATAATTAAGCAAATTATCTGTCCTACGTACTTCTATATACTTTTTTCAAGTTATTCAGAAAATGCATTTACATTACGTAATTTGTAGATATTGTAATTTTGAAACTGTTTAAATACATAAATAAGAGTTCGGTTTTCTAGATAATGCATGTGTAAAAGAATAAGAGAAAAAAAACTACGCACTAAAATTGTGATTTAAAAATATTCAGTACATATTCATCTTGTATGTAAATTACACATCTATTATTAAAATAATCTTTTGTAAATATTGTTCAAAATAGTATAAAAAATGTTCTGACTATTTTATAATTTTAAATAGCTAGCACTAATTCATTTCAATATTGATAATAATAAGAGGTAAAAAGCACTAATCGGGCTATTATAATGCTTTCAGAAGGATCATGTGACACTGAAGACTTGATTAATGATGCTAAATATTTAGTAATCAAAAATAATTACATTTTAAAAACTACTGCAAATGCCAAGCTACTCTATTGAAGGGTTCAACGCTAAGGATTTTTTCTACTGGTCCAATCGGGCAAGTGGTTCAGATTTTTACTTGCCCTACCAAAATTTTCACTGGCCCCACCAAAAAAAAGGGAAGTTAATAGCTATGTTTTAGCCGCATATTTTAAATAATGTGTCAAAAATAAAGTCTGCGAATCTAGAATTTCAATACTTAAAAAATTGTTGATAAAAGTGTTATGCAAACAAAAAGAGGAGTATTGAAAATGTGGAAATATTTTATTGCGGTTCGAAATTATTGAACAAACGGTGGGTGACTTGTCAAAACTGACGGCAAACTTTGCAAAACAACACTTAATTTTTTTTGTTGCGTTGTTCACACGTAAATATCTACTCTCAAGACATTTTCTTTTAGCCCTGTAATTTGATGCTGCTGCCATGTTGCCGTTTCTTTGCTGTACTGGTTGTTGCCAGGTTACGGAAAAAAATAGCATGCTCAAAACATAAAATCAGATAAAAGGAAACAGAAAGCAATATGGTGTTTACAATATCACGGAGAAGGTATTGTTTAAAGACTTAAAAGCACAAACTTAAAATGCATGCAATTGACAAATAGTTGCAGACAAATTAAATGCTAGTGACAAGGCAGCACTGTCCCAATCGGGCCAGTAATGATCCTGTCTACTGTCCCAAGTGTCTCTCACACTGGCCCTGGGCCACTGG